AATTATTTCAAACAGTAATAATACAAGGTAAGGCAGGTTAAGGGAGAAAAATGGGCATGAGACCATGACATGGAGAAGTCAGGAGGAGGTTGCATTTGAACTAAGGCCTGAATAAACAGCCAGTCATGTGGGGACCTGGAAAACGCAGAACCAGGGTAGATGTGTGCATTGGAAATTGTTTGGCGAGAGGCATTGGTTTGGGAGCTACTGGGGTACTGATGGTATGTAAAGCCCTGAGACTGGATGCTGTCACCTAAGAAAGCCCAATGAGAAGAGGACTGAGCCTTGGGGCCCATCAGCTTTTAGAATTTGGAAAGAAGAGATAAGGAAAGATGAATTTGACGTGGTCCCTACTCTTAAGAAGCTTACAGTCTCATAGAGGCAGCAGACTTAAAGGAGAAGTGGTAATTAACCAGTGGGTGGGGCTGGGGTGGGCAGAAGAGTATTCCAGACAGAGAGTACCATGGGAAAAGATAGCCCTACCAGAGCACAGAACATTCAGGGGAGCACAGCAGTTTGACGTTTCTAAGGCCTGTGAATCAGGGTGTGGTGAGAAGTAAGACTGAGGTGGGGTTGGGCCAGGTCACAGGGGGACTTCCTATACCCTAGGAAGTTTAGCTTGAAGTGTTGTAGACAGTGGAGTGGCATGGTCAGATGTGAGCTTTAGGCAGCGACTGAGAACAATGTGTTTGAGGAAATGACCAGATCTAGGGGACCAGAGAAAGGATAAGAGCTGAACTAAGGCCGTGGTAGTAGGGATAGAGGAGAATGGAGTGGCTTAGAGCCCCAATTCATGAACTGCTTATGAGGTCCGTAAGATGTTCAAGGTGTTCCACAACAATGCTGAAATGAGTTTGGGGGAGACTGCATGTTCTATACCTCTTATATGTCTGGAATTTAATATAATAGTAATGGCTCTGAAAAGTCTTGTGGTAAAGACTTTTTAAAAAATTAATATACTTTATATTTTCGAGCCGTTTTAGGTTTGCAACAAAATGTACCCCTTGCTGCCCAGCCCCATCACCTCCTCTTCTGACCTTGCACCAGAGTGGTACCTTTGCTACAATTGATGAACCTACGCTGACACATCATCATCACCACAAATCCATAATTTACTTTAGGGTTCATTCTTGATGTACATTTTATGGGTTTTGACAACTGTGTAATGACATCATAGTGTCATACAGAATAGTTTCACTGTCCTAAAAATTCTGTGTGGTCTGCCTATTTATCTCTCACTCCGAATTCCTAGCAACCACAGATTTTTTTTCTTTTTCTTTTTTTCTTTTTTTACTGTCTCCATAGTGGTGCCTTTTTCAAAATGTCATATGGTTGGAATTATACCGTATGTAGCTTTTTCAGATTGGCTATTCCCCTTAATAATATGCATTTATGTTTCCTCCATGTCTTTTCATGGCTTGATAGCTCATTTCTTTTTACAATTGAATGCTATTCCATTGTCTGGGTGTACCATAGTTTATTTATTCACTTACCAAATGATATTTTTGTTGCTTCCAAGTTCTGGCAATTATAAATAAAGTTACTATAAATATTTGTGTGCAGGTGTTTGTGTGGACATAAATTTCCAATTCATTTGGGTAAGTACTAAAGAGCATGATTACTGGATTGTATGAATATGTTTAGTTTTGTAAGAAATTGCCAAACTGTCCGCAAAAGCACCTGTACTGTTTTCCATTCCCACCAGCAATGAATGAGAGTTTCCACTGCTACACATCCTTGCTAGCATTTGGTGGTGTCAGTGTTTTGGATTTTGGCCATCCTAATAGGTATGTAGTGGTATTTCATGTTGTTTTAATATCCAGTTCCCTAATATATAATGTTGAACACCTTTTCATATATTTAGATGTCATCTGTGTATCTTTTTTTGGTAAGGTGTCTACTCAGGTCTCAAGTAGCTAGCTAGTTGTCCCTATGACCCTTACTGAATAATCCCACATTACCCCACTAATTTGAAATGTCACTTTAAAAAAAATATATATATATATTTTTTTTTTTGTAGAGAGAGGGAAGGGGAAGGAGAAAGAGAGGGAGAGAAACATCAATGTGTGGTTACCTCTTGCACACCCCCTGCTGGGGACCTGGCCTGCAACCCAGACATGTGCCTTGACTGGGAATTGAACCAGCAACCCTTTGATTCGTAGGCTGGCACTCAATCCACTGAGCAACACCAGCTAGGGCTCACTTTTATAATATATTTAAGTTCTCAAGTCTGTTTCTGGGCTTTCAATTTCATTTCGCTGATTTATGAGTATATTTTGGCACTTTTTTTTTTTAATTTTTGTGCCTCTGTAATACAAGATAATATCTTATTGGTAGGCCAATTCTGACTTCATTATTGTTGGAAATTTTTATTGGCCATTCTGGAACACTTTAGAAGCATTTAACATAGTAAAAAAAAAAGCTGAAATTTTGATTGGGGAGTATTAAAGTGGAGGAAAGTAACATACTTAGGATGTTTTATTTCAATCCATGAATATAGTATATGTCACTAGTCTCTCTATTTAAATCAGTTATTTATTTATAATGTCCCACATAGTTCTCATTTATTCTTAGCTTTAATTTTCCAATATTTTATTATGAAAATGTTTAAGCATTCAGAAAAGTCAAATTTTACATTGAGCATCCATGTACCACTACCCAGACTCTACCATTAACATTTTAATATATGTAATATACATTTTACATTTATGCTATGTTTTTGCTATATTTTTGAGTAGTGGATAAGTGCATAGCCTGCCTGGATTCACCGCTTGCAAGTTGCGTAATGTAGGGCAAGTTACTTCTACAAACCCCAGTTTTTTTAATCTGCAAACTGGGAATAATAATACTACCTCAAGGGGTTGTTATGAGGACTAAATCAGTTAAAATACGTATTGCACTTAGCATGAAGCTTCACTCTGTACATACTATATGTTGGTGTATTAGTCTCCTTGGGCTGCTATAACAAAACATCATAGATGGGGTGGCTTAAACAACAGAAATTTATTTTCTCACAATTCTGAAGGCTAGAAGTCCCAGGTCAAGGTCTAGCATGGTCAGTTTTGGGGGAGGGCTCTCTTTCCGGCTTATATTGTAGATAGTGCCTTCTTCCTAAATCCTCGCCATTTCATGACCTTTTCTCAGTGCCGGCACGTTCGGAGAGAGAGTGAGCCCTCTGGTGTATCTGCAGAGAGGAACACTGAACCTATGGGATTAGGGCCCCACCTTTATGATCTCATTTCATTACTTCCTTTTTCCAAATATAGCTACACTGTGTGGGTTAGGGTTTCAATATAGGAATTTGGGGGCATAAATGAAGAGACACAAACATTCCACCCATAACAGCTAGCAAATACATAGTTTTATGCTGTTTTCTAAATTGTTATTTTTGTAACTACTGAAGTGGAAATATATATTTGGAATGATGTACTACTATTTTGTTGAGACAAAACTCAGCAATAAAACATTACAGTATTTGCAAAAAATTACATAAAAATACATGATAAAAACTAACTGTGTGTGGGTGTGTGTAGGTATGCGTGTGCACTAAATGTTAGCTATGGTTATCTCTGCTTGGTGAGATTAAAGATAATTATTTTGCCTTTGTGTATTTTCTGGAATTTCAGAAATATAAGGAAAGCAATTAACAGAGTTTATTGAATACTAGAACAAAAAACTACATGATCGTGGTATTCTCTTAATAAAACACTGGATTCCATTCCATTTTCAGTCTTTCCGCGTACCTTTTATTAAGTGACGGTGGTATGGGTATGGAGTCTTTTAATACCAACGTTGTTTTGAAGAAAAAAAAAAAAAGTGTTACAGCTGTTTCTCCCTTTTGTCAAGGGTTTCAAACCTCCCCACAGAAACATTCACAGGGCTGTTGGCGGAGGAGAGCTGGGTTTTTTCCGTAGTCTCTGGGTGAGGGCGGACAAGAGGACAGGCTCCGGCTCCTTCTGCTTCACCTTGGGCTGGGATGCGGGATGCTGCGGACCAAACGCGGTGGACCGAGAGCGAGCGTCCCGGGAGGCGCCCGCAGGACGGGAGCTGCCCCAGAGGACCCTGGGAACCACGCTGAGAGGCCGCGGCCACGCAGGCGCAGCGGCCTGGGACGGGCTGCGTGGGAGCGTCTTCGCGTGGGCCAGGCACCAGCCGCGGAAGGGCAAGGGTTTGGGGTCGGCCCGTGAACGGGTGAGCGGGCACTCTCCGGGGTCCGGGGAGGGGACGAGCAGCGAAGCGCCGGTATCCCCCGCCCGGGGTCAATCCGGGGCGAGGAGAGTCGGGCTCCTTTAAAGCCTAAGAGGGCGGGGCGGGGCGGGGCGGGGCGGGGCGGGGCCGGTCCAGCCCTAGAGGAAGGTTTGTCTTCTTCGTTTAGAGGGGAGGACAGGGGTTTAGAGGGTGTCATGATTTGCCACTGCCGACAAGTGAGGGAGCTGGGATTCCAACCCAGATCCATTTTGATTCCAAATCTCAGGCTATTTAAAACAGAATACTGCTTAAAAACAATTGAGTTTCCCCCCCCCTTTTTTTTTTTAATGCTTCTTGACAGCCTCACAGTGTTTTGGACCACGTGGGCCGTGTATATCCAGGGCCTCTGTGCATCTTTTGTAAAAACTTGTCCAGGGATTCGTGCAAGTGCTAGAATTCTGACCTTGTGACCGAGCCTCTGAGATCTTTTTGCTGACTCTAATGTTTGCTGTCCAGCATCACCAGGGGAGTACAGAGGTGACTGCTTAGGATAAATACTTGGAGCCTCCAGCTACCTACTGAGGAGACAGAAGGAGCTCAAGATAGGAGGTGTTCCTTGAAAGCCTTGATATTAAAAGGCCCAGACTCTGGATTTTGGTACCATATGTTCCCTGAGTTCCTGAGAGGGAGGACACCCATACGCAACTGTGAAGACTTCTTTTAGAGTTTCTGGCAGTGTCCGCCTCAAAAATGGACAAACCCAGTCGGGACTGTGCCTTGCGGGCTGAGGCAAGAGATTCCCCCAGAAGGGAGTGTGGAAGTCATGATGCTGCAGAAGCTTCTGATGACCCCGCCCACCGAGGCCAGCACCTGGGTGAAGCTGCACCATCCAAGCAAGGCCGAGGAGGGGGCGCCTCCCTGGGAGGATGAGACTAAAATTTGTGAAGAAGGTGAGAATAGACTGATGGGTGGGAGGAAGGAAAAGCAACATCCCCTAGTGTGAGATGTATATACAGACCTCTAGTCTCCCTCTAGTGTATCTTCCTTCTAGTGTGAGAAAGAAGATAAGACACCCAAGCGGAAGCCTCTCTTGGAATGGCAGTTGAATAAAAGGTCTCTGGAGTTCTTGATTATAGCTCCTGGCCTGGGATTTTCCTGAGTACTGGTGGTTACTTCAACCTAAAACCAAGATTACAGTGTCATGGTTGTATGTTATTTCTTTTTGTCTTCTCCATAGGCATGTGAGGCAGGGTGGATTTGCTTGATTTTCCTTATTTCACAGCAAGGAAATGTGAATCAAATGAGAGACCTGGCCAGGTCGTTGGTGGCTAGATCAGAAGTAGAAGGCAGCAGGGAGAGTATTAGGTAAGCCTGGAGCATCTCATGCTAGAGAGCAAGGAAGAGCTCAAAGACTAATGGGCAGTTAGTTCTTGGATGGATGCAAGAGCCAGGTGAAGGGGGCTCCCACTGGACAAATGTGGGACAGTTTAAGTGGCCAAATCAATTGTTAACACCTTGAACAAATAAAATCCCACAAATTCATGATGACATTTAAAACAGAAGGGGGAAAACTTCGTTTGCCAACATTGTAGTAATTAATACACTGATTATTTACTTTGAAAATAGATTCTTATGGAAATGAAGGATACATTTACCTTGCTTTTTTAGATGATTTCCAGTTGTTGAGAGAAAGCTCTATACAGTAAAAACCTGCCAATAATAAATGTAGATAGAATAATAGAATATTTTACTGTAAATGGAATAATTGAAAGGTTGATGGGGAACAGGATATTTACATGGTTTCAAAGTTTCACCCTCCCCACACACAGATTATTTGCTAAATGCCACGGAACGTAGCTGCTTTTCCAATGTCTGGTAATCGGATCTTAAGCAAGTGTCCCAATGATGAGATGACCTAGCATTTTGTGCCTTCTGGGTAATGCAATATAAAGCACATGGTACACCTATGAAGTAGTGCTGTCAAAAATGTTTAACCTGATCCTAAATTAAGCTTAAGGGCTGAACTTTTTGATTAAATAAAATACAGGGGATAGAGAAATAAAAATATAGTCAGACTTTTCTGGTCTCTAAAAAAGCTAGTGTCAAGGAGAAGGAGGAAATGCTATTCTAGAGTAATAGAGACTATAAATAACAACCACTCTGAATGTGCAAAACTTGACTGGCTTCTGGTTTGGAAAAAATCCAGAATGAAAAAGAGTGTGGAGACAGTTGAGGAAATCTGAATATGGATTGAATATTCAGATGATACTATGGACTTATTGTTAACTTGGTCAGGTGTGATAAATGTTATTGTGGTTATGCAGGGGAAGGTTTTTACTTGAAGGATTTGGGGATGAAGTATCATGGCGTCTATTACTTTGAAATGGTCCAGAAAAAATATAGGTGAAGCCAATATGGCAAATGTTAACAGTTGTTGAAGGTGAAGGTAGGTGGTGGATAAATGGGTGTTCAATATTTATGATAAAAAGTTGGGGGGGAATAAGGACAATAATTCATGTGCCTTCATTACTAGTTCATATTTTTTAAATTTTATTTTCAATTTTTAGAGAGTAAGGAGGAAGGGAGAAAGAGGTTGAGAAACATCAATTGGCTGCATTCCATACGCACCCCAGGAGACCAAACTTGCAACCCAGACATGTGCCCCAACCCGGAATTGAACCTGTGACCTTTTGGTTCATGGGACAACACCCAACCAAATGAGCCACGCCAGTGGGAGCCTAGTTCATATTTTTAATACTTCAAATTCAGTCAGTGTTTCTTGAATTCTAGCAACAGCAGGGTGTTATACTTAACACGGGAGGAGATGGGGGCTGGGGATGAACCAGATACAGTTTCTATCCACATACACACCATAGTGCTCAATGGAAGAAGATTATTACAAAAATAAGTATGATAGGTAGACTGAGATAGATACCAGAGTAGAGATAAAAACAAAGCCTTTGGGGAGTATTGGGAGAGGATGCTTTTTTCTCATGCAGAGTGTGTAAGAAAACATCACTTGAACTGGTCCCGAAGGATACCTCTAATAGGACTTGGGGGAAGGTACTGAGGTGGGTGCTTTCCAGGTGTATTCAACGACTGGTGAACCAGATGGTGTGTGGCTGTGCCCAGTGGATGAAGGATGGTGTTTAGAGGGAGATAATATTTGGAGAAGCAGCTTTGGGCTGGTTGTGGACGATCTCGCAGTCTGTGGTGCAGTGTTTGAATTTTCTCTTCTTCAGTGGGAAACCTTTGGGGACTTCTGAACAGAGGACTCTCCTTGTAGATCTGTGTTTTTGGACCAGCATTGACATTGGGAAATGTTAATCCCCAAAACAAAGCACCGCAGGTCCTCCTCATGCAGAAGGCTCCAGTCTGTGCTCGAGTCATTCGAAATGTCCCTCTTTGTGCCTGTATTGAGAGAGGAGCCATGTTCAGCAGGTCTGCAGGCAGCTTTTCTGTTTGGGGGGTTTGGGGAGATGCAAACCTTATGGCTCTTACCACCCCCCCCCCAGCTCTGCTACCTCAGGGTGCTGATGAGACCCAGGGAGAACATTCAAAGGATGAAGGGACCTCTGGGGACTGGACAGCAGAATCCCAGGTGGGCTGGGATTCCCTGTCACTTTCTTGAAATTTTTTTTCATATTTTAAGAACCCTAGACTTTGATTTTCTTTGATTCGCCTTCCTGGCTTGGATGTTCTCAGCCTGTTCGAAACCAGGCTGCATCCGCTGATTTCACAGGTAATTTCCCCACCAGTAGTAACCTTCCTCAGGAACCCTCTTGTTCTGTAGCAAACCAGTCGTCAGTTAGCAACACATTTAAAAATCGTGCTGTGGGTGGGGGTGGGGGTGGGGTGTGTGTGGGTGTGTGTGTGTGTGTGTGTGTGTGTGTGTGTGTGTGTGTGTGTAAGTATGTAATGCAGTTTTTGCCCTTAAACCTCAGGGATGACATCTAGGGGAAAGAAAAACATTGTAAAACATTTTAAGCAGCATTTAAAAATGAACAGAACTAGGTTCTGATATTCTTGGAGATGTACACACTTTACTGATGAAGGTCTTTAAGGGAGGCTTTTTGGTCCCATCCAGAAGCTGAATTGCAGCTGCAGCTGAAAAGAGGAATGAGTACTGGCAGGCCCTGGAGGGCACAAACTGAACAGGCTGAGCAGAAAAGGAAGGAAAACTTCTAAGAGCAGCTCAACAGTGTCCCTGTCTCATAAATGAGCTCATCAGAAAACCAACGGCACTGACAAAGCTTTATGCTACCAAACCCCGGAAGCATAGAGAAATACAAGAAAATATAGAGTAATGAGAGAAAACCAGTTTAAAGGGGATATTATTAGAGAACAGAAGTGTTTTAAAGTGGGGCGCTCTTAACTCCCAAAATCACATGGTGCAGGGGGTTCGACCCCATACCTTTGACCGTCCTCAGTGTCAGCCCAACAGCCCTGCATGCATTCCAGACGTGCAGCTACATGGAAAGCATTAAAATCGTCTAGATACTTAAGAAATTTGTTATTAGCTCAGTTTTCTGGCTTCTGGGTTCTCTTTGCATTTGGGAATTTCTTTTTAAAAATAAGTACCAAATGGTTATTTAATTTGTGTAGATCATACATAACAGGGTCTTGTATTTCATACTACAGAGTTCTTTACTAGGAGGAATTCCTGCCCCACCCCCAAAACATGCTATTTTAACACATTTTTATTGTTAACAGAAATACCCAGCTAAGGGTATTTTACCCATGCTGAAATGTTCTCATTTTCACAGTTCTTTTAGCCCAACAGCGGTCCCTGTCTTTCTCTTGTGGCCTTAGCCTCTTTGAACTCTCCCCTTTCTCATATATTCCTGATCTTTGCTGTCCTTAATCTAAATTACAACACAATATCCTGTGGTCTTCTTTAATATTTCATGAGTATTTTGACTTATGCCAAATTGTAACATGCAGAAGACAACTTACATGTTCTCAGCATTGTTTTGTAACCTCCAGCAGAGAGTCAAACAACTGGTGTCCAGGAAGACTTGACTAGAATCTTAGCATTAGCAGAGGTCAGAGCAACTCCCTGGACTCAGGCTGAAAAGAAACATATTTGATGTTCTAGGAACTGTTAACCTTCAAGGACATATCTGTGGACTTCACCCAGCAGGAGAAGGGGCAGCTGGGCCCTGCTCACCGGAACCTGTACCGGGAGGTGATGCTGGAGAACTATGGGAACCTGGTCTCCGTGGGTGAGGATGGTCTTCCCTTGTCACTAGAACCCGCCTGTTGGAAGTAAATCTTTATTTGTAAGTTAAGTGCTATACTTGGGCTTCAGGGCCTCTTAGAGGTTTCTAGTTTTTTCCAAATACTGAGTCAGGATTGCTGTGTTATTTTTGTCCTGGCCTTTCTACTCTACCCTTCAGAAGGCCTGACTACCACAGAACTCTCTCTAAATTCCTGGGATGGATTTTTGACCTAAGTACATAGTTTTTTTTCTTCTCCATGAGCAGGACAGCTTTCCAAACCTATTGTGATTTCCCAATTGGAGAAAGGAAAAGAACCATGGATTATTGAGAGAGAGATTTCAGGAGGTCCAAGTTCAGGTAAGAGCAAGGTGATGGGGCCTTTGTCCCGTCTGCCAGAGCTCTGCTCACAGGCTTCTCAGGCTGTGGGGAAAAGCTAAGATCATTTGGGTGGAACCCCCAAGAAACCCCGTTGTGCCCCGGCTGGTGTGACTCAGGGGACTGAGTGCTGGCCAGCAAACCAAAGGGTTGCTGGTTCGATTCCCAGTTGGGGAACATGCCTGGCTTGCAGGCCAGGTCCCCAGTAGGGGGTGTGTGAAAGGCAGCCATACATTGATGTTCCTCTCCCTCTTTTTCTCCCTCCCACCCCACTCTCTAAAAATAAATAAATAAAACCTAAAAAAATTTTTAAAAAGAAACATGATTGCCACTGTTAGCCCCCTTTCCTGCATTTGCCTATTCTCATTAGTTCCTCTGGAGTCAGAGGAAGAGATGCCTTTCTTGGCAGGGTCAGCCTTCTCCATTTCTCCTCTTTCATGATTTTCATGATACCTGACTTTCACGATTTCCTTGCTGTCTCCAGCACTCCACACCACGCCCTGATCATAGTCTGTTGGTTTTTTTTTTCTTTTCTCTCCTGCACATTCAGATATCCATGGAAATTTCCTTCACTGCCTTCTCATGTCATTTTATTGTGGATTTCTCTCTCTCTCTCTCATGATTCCATTTAAAATTGTTCCCAAGTCTTATTGTGTGATCATAGCTTCAATTCTGATTCTTTTTTTAACTTGTGTAATTTAACTTTTCATTTTAGATAATTTATTACTCCTTGAGAAATCACCATAGAATTTCTTTTTGCAAAATCCAGTGGCTTACCGTAGTCTTCTTCAACTTCTAAGAACAGTAATAATGACAGCTGTTTACCAAGCTGGCCTCTGTGAGCCCTGTGCCCACTTTAGCCTCATCTTACAAATGAGGAAAAGAAGACTCATAGGTTAAGAAATTTCTACAGGGTCACTTAGCTACTGCCTGTAGAGTCAGTATTCAAAATGTAATCATTCTGACTCCACAGTTTGTATTCTTACAGCTTTATTCTACACAGCAACATTAGGTTATATAGACCTCCCCAATTTCTTGATATCCTTTCTTCCATCAACTAGTTTAATAATTTTTGTTTCCTCTGTCTCTCTGCTTTTTCAGTGCTTCTCATCAATACCCTTTTTAATATAGATGTACCTTTCCACCTTCATTAGGATAGGCTAAACTACTACAGAAAATTGACCTCAAAATTTGGCCCAAATAGAATAGGAATTTCTTGCTTATAAACCAGTCTGGGGGAACTGTTTATTTAGTTCAATGGAGAATTCTACTCCACCTGGCAAGCCTGGAACTAAGATTTCTTCCACATGGTGGCTCTACAATCCCCTATAGCCTCCTCATCATCTAGATTTGGCCAGCAGAAGAATAGGCTCATTCGGGAGTTTTTTATGGGCCAGCCTATAGCAGTCCTAATCACTTTCACTCTCATTCATTTAATGAGGAGATCTTTGTCACTTCACTCAATCACATCAAGGAAGACTGGGAAATACAGTGTAGTGGTATGTTTAAAAAAAAAAAAGAAAGAAAGAACAGATTTCAGTAAAAAGCCAACAGTCTCTGCCACAATCCCCAAGGAGCCTCTGTTTCTCACATGGCAATTCTATTTCTTCACAAACTTCCACAATGTACTCTGCTGGTTTCAACTATCCCTTTGATATTGATATTCTCCATATTTTCATCTTGGTCTTATATTTCCTTATGAATTCTATTTGCATATATTCCTGGTATTTAGGACATCTTTGTATAGATACACTATTGTCATTTCAAACCCAGTATGTCCAAAAATAGAAGCCATCTTCACTCCAAAACAAGTTTCTCATCCTGACTTCTTTCTGTCTCCTGATATCAGCAAGAATGTATCATGCTTTTATTCTGTTTTTCTTTAGTCCCCATAGTTTCTTCTTTGATATTGCCTGTTAGCCCCACTTCTCTTCGTCTCTCTTGAGGCAATGCTAAACCAAATATATCTCATGCCAATTACTATGATTTCTAGTTGTATTTGTTGTCTTACTCTCTTTCTCTGAGTCATTTTGAATATTACTGCTAGATTTGACCACTTAAAACAAGACATTTATCTTGTTTTTATCTTAAAAAGAAAGTTAAGTGATTTGCAGTTTCCTGTAGTAAGTAATCTAAACATCTCAGCTTGCTTTTTAAGTTCACTCCAAAATTTATCCAGCTATTACTGAGTGCTTTGTATGTGTTATTATTAAAGTGGGGTTAGAAATCCTTCCCTGGCTGGTGTGGCTTAGTAGATTTGCATGCCGGCCTGTAAACTGAAGAGTCTGGCTTGATTCCAGTTAGGCCACATGCCTGGGTTGCGGGCCAGGTCCCTGGTTGGGAGTATGCAAGAGGCAACTAATGGATGTATCTCTTGCACATTGATGTTTCTCTACTTCTCTTCTTCCTCCCTTCCTCTCTCTCTCTAAAAAGTAAATAAATAAAATCCTTTAAAAAAGTAATAATAATAAAAAAGAAATCCTAGGGAATATTAATCTGCTCTGAACAAGAAATTGGTGTTTTAGGATGACAGCGTCCAGAATGGATGGATAGGAATAGAAAGAGAGTAAAAATCAGAGAAACTACTTCATCCAAAAATGTGTATCATGTATAGATAGAATATATATTCTCTATCCTTTAAGATTTTTAGTTAATATTTTGGACAAATGAAGATCATTTTCTACCTCTTACATAGGCAAAAATTATGAAGATCGATAAAAATCCAATGAGTTTGCATGGAGAGGCACCCACATTCACTGAGAGCACACATACTCATGCCCCAGTAATTCCTCTGTAGTACATTCTATGACATACTAATGGGATTGTACACAAGTGTATATCTAATGAGAAAGTAAAAAGTTGGACACACCCTACTTTTTTTCAGTAGGGAAAAGTCAAATTATGGTATGTGTATAAAGTGGAATGCAATGCAATTAAAAAAATGAAATAAATCTGAATGTACAGACATGAAAGGGGGCCCATAAGAGACAGGTGACTTTAAAAACAAGACAAAACAGATACAGAACTATATGTATACCATGATCCTTATTTTTGTGCAAATGTATAATTATGACCATATATGTATAAATGCAAACATTTGCATACATGTATTGTTGGGAAATGCTGAACAGATGTGTTCCAAAATCCTAAGAAGCTAGAGGGAATGGGGATAAGATTGAGAGAGGCTATCCATTTTTAGTGAATTCATTCCTATATATTGAATGTTTTAAATTAATGTGTAAAAAGTATGAGACAAATGCTTACAATTTTCAATAAAGAAAATTTTGTCATAGAAATATGAGCTTAAGATGATATGGCTTTAGAACACTGTCTCCTTTAATTTTATCTCTTGATAATTGCCCTTACAACAATGCTTTCTTCTTACTCCATTTCCTCTTGCAATTCACATGAATGAACTCTCCCAATTTCTTTTAAGATTTGTTTATAAAGAGGGGAAGGGAGGGAGAAAGAGAAATAGAGAAACATCAATGTGTGAGAGAAACATAGATCAGTTACCTCTCCTATGTGCCCCAGCCAGGGACTAGGCCCACAACCCAGGCATGTGCCTTGATCAGGAATTGAACTGGCAACCTTTCACTCTACAAGGACAATGCCCAAGCAGCTGAGCCACACAGTCAGGGCTCTCCCAATTTCTTAAAGTCACCTTACATACTTTTAAAAGCTTCCTTTGATCACTTCCTCATTTCCTTTCATATTAGCTTTCTAGATGTCAGGATCACCACTGAAGACAGTTCAGGCTTTCTGTTCCTGGTATATGTTATTGTTATTCCTTCCTGTTCTCAGCATAGCCATTTATTTTTTAAAATGCAGTGAATATGGGTCATTTGTATTTTTGGGTTTCTTTCAGACTTAGAGAAAGTCTTTAGAGAGTAAAACAGAAACCAAAGAACTAACCTTAAATAATGATGTTTTGTGGGAAGAATTACACCATTTCCTGAGGATGTAAAGGTCCACAAGAGGAAGTACCCTGTATTCCACATTTAGAAGAGTTTCCAAGTGTAGTAAGTTAGAGAGCCACCAGAAAAACCAAGGAATGGGCAAGGGGGAAATCCCCTTGATCCACAGGAAAACGCTCACTCAGGAGATTGACCAAGAATCTAACAGAGTTGAAAAAAGTATTAATGTGAGCTCAAAACATATTCCAGGAGGTTCTCCAAGAAAAAGATACCATAAATATGACATATCTTGGAAGAAAAGTATATACAATTTAGACTTGATTAATCATTCAAGGAGTTATACAAGAATAAAAACCTTTGAATGTAATATTTATGAAAAAATCTTCAAACAGCTCATTCACCTTACAGAACACATGAGATTTCATACCAGAGAGAAACCTTTCAGATGTAAAGACTGTGGGAAAGCCTTTTAGCCAAAGTTCATCCCTTATTCCACATCAGAGAATCCATACTGGTGAGAAACCATATGAATGTAAGGAATGTGGGAAAATCTTCAGACATCTGTCATCTCTTACTCAACATGTTCGAGTCCATAGTAGGGAGAAGCCCTATGAATGTAGGGTGTGTGAGAAAGCATTCAGCCAGAACAGTGGGCTGATCCAGCATCTGAGAACTCATGTGAGAGAGAAACCTTTTACATGTAAAGACTGTGGAAAGAATTTTTCCAGATGAGACACCTGAGGCAACATGAGATTATTCACAGTGGTAAGAAACCCTATATTTGTAATGTATGTAGTAAAACTTTCAGCCATAGTACATACCTGACTAAAACCAGAGAACTCATACTGGGGAAAGACCATATAAATGTAAGGAATGTGGGAAAGCCTTTAGCCAAAGAATACATCTTTCCATTCATCAGAGAGTACACACTGGAGTGAAACCTTATGAATGCAATCACTGTGGGAAAGCCTTTAGGCATGGTTCATCCTTTGCTAAACATCGAAGAATTCATACTGGAGAAAAACCTTACAATTGCAGTGAATGAGGGAAAGCCTTCAGCTGTAGTTCATCACTTATTAGACATTGTAAAACACATTTAAGAAATACCTTCAGCAATGATACATGAAATAAGTTCAACGTCAAAGAATCCTCACACTGGAGCAAGAGCCTCTAAATTAGTGGTTTTTTGACTTTTGGATTTCAAAAACCAATAATTTCTTACTGGTTTGATCCAATGTTACAACTATTAGTTTTTTGTCATATTAAATGAAAACACCTATTATCAGCATTGTTTCAGAAAAGAAAGGGCATTTTAATATTTTAAAATATAGGAAGGATATAATCATAAAGAATAGACCTTTACATTGAATTAAGTCAGCTTTATGAAAACCTTCCAAATTTGTCTTTATTTTTCTCCTGCTATGAGTCAATGAAAATTTCATCATGGCAGGTCAGTGATCTGTGTAGTGGCTTTTGAGAATCACTGTTTTAAATACCCTTTATTGAATCAGAACAAAATGTAATATAACCTTTTTACTGTAGCACCTTATTTGGCTAGAAGAGGTATATGTAAAAATATTGGTTGGATCACTTCTAGAAGAAATAATGTTAAAGGATACTTTCTAAAATTGATAGGTAACATACTATACATGTGATATTTATATATTTTTAATGCTTTCTTATAAACTTTTTCTCTAATGGACCAGATAGTAAATATGTGTTGTAGGCCATAAGACCTCTGTCAAAATTACTCAACTCTGCTATTTTAGTGCAAAAGCATCCAAAGACAATACATAAATCAGGTATCCCAATCTTGGCACTACTATTCTGGGCCAGATACTTTGCTATGGGCAGCTATCCTTTATGTTGTGTATGTTTAGCAGTTTCTCTGACTACAAGATGCCAGTACCAGTTGCCAATAGTCCCCCACCATAGTGACAACCAAAAAGGTCTCCAGACATTGTTAGATGTCCCTGAGGGTCAAGATTGTTCCTACCTGAGAACTCACATAACTGAATGTTCCGGTAAATTTAAAAAACAGGTGTTGGGATGCATTTAGCCCAAGGACTATAGTTTGCTGCCTTATATATAGAGTATGTAAATGGCTACTAATGGCAAGAAGCTCATATAATGTCAAATTAGTATATGTATTTGTGCCCTAACTCCTATCTCCTTATCAAATTCCTTTGGTATTTTGTTGCAAGAACTTTTTTTTTTTTTAAATCACATTTGTAATGCTGTTGTGTAAGCCTAGGAATTATTTATGGAGATATTTACACAGACTTCAATCAATAATGATTTTTTAAAATTATTTTTAGGAAAAGAGAGGAAGGGAGAGAGAGACATATCCATTTGTTGCTCTACTTATTTACAAATTCACTGGTTCACTCTTGTTTGTTCCCTGACAAGGGATCAAACTCACAACCTTGGTGTATTGGGGTGACATGCTAACCAACTGAGCTAACTGGCCAGGGTTGATGCTGCTTTTTTTGTTCATAAGTACTTAGTTAGGGATGTATCTCTAAAACATAACTGAAATGCCATTATTACACCTAAAAAGATTAGGCCATTATTCCTTAATGCATATTAATGATTTTTTGAAGATAGATATATTGAAATTGGTGGCTGCCATTTTAATTCTTTTTAACTTTCCCTTTGATAAATATACAGTATTAGATTTGAAAATGTGCATTCTGTTGATTGGGAGGGACTTTGGGATAGCCCTCAGAACAACACATCTAGGGACTCACCAAAAAGTACCAGGGAGAAGGCGATTTCAGGGGCCATATTGAGGCAAGGAAGTATGAGAGAGGAAAAGGAGGAATTGACTCATAGTACTTTACTACACTTAATAGATACTGTATCCTCCCAAACATAATTGGAATTAGGTCAAGTTCAACTACTGACTCTTAGATGGCAGAACAATTCAATTGCCTGAGCATTGTAACTGTGAACTTATAAAGTAAAGCTGCAAATCCAGAATACCACATTTAATTTTTTAAAAAACTGGCCTCTGATTCTTAAGTCCTTATGTGGGCCAAAGGAGAGAGGGGATACATACTGTTCCTTACATATGTTCTACCATATTTCTATGGTCTTAGATTTCCTAAGAATTTAAGTTTCTCTGATTGCTCCTTTTAGTGAGAGGCATGACTATCACTTTTCTCTGATGATAGTCCCTGCCTCAGTGATCGCATATAGTCTTAATGGCGTAAGATACCATTTCTATTTAGCTGCCAGATTCACGTCTCCAGCCCAGACCTACCTCATGAACTCATGACACTGACATCATGAACTCAGGAACCTTGTTCCTGACATCGGGCCTTGGCACTGGCTGTTCCTTCAGATATCCTACACTCTTACCTTCTCATCCTTGCTCAAATGTTGCCTTTTCACTGAACACTATCCAGACCATGCTACATAATTCTTTACCCCTAAACTTCAAATACTAGATATTTTATATATTTATTATGCTTATTTACTATTGTTTCCCCCTATTAGTATTTAAGCTCCATGAGTGTATGGATCTGGTCCCCGCTCTAAGTGCCTGCAACAATGCCTGGCACACAGTTGGGACTCAATATTTAATGAATTGTTTTAATTTGAATTGAATTATGTATCCATAATTACCATAGAGAAAGGTGATCCCTATACCTAGATTTTATAGGTGAGATCTTTTTGTTTCCTTTTAAAATTTTATTTATTTATTGCTTTACAAATGGGTAGAATTTTTAGGCCTCTTAAGAACTATGAATTATAACACTTTTAAGATAGAAGGGTATTTTAAGTTAATTTGCTAAAAATGCAGTTAAATATGGCTGACTAATGACAAGAGTTTATCTTTGTTTTGTAAGCATGAGTTTATAAGAAACTAGGGAAGGATAAAAGTTTATCCCAGCAGTTGGGGAGAATACAGCAGCAGACGGGAGATGTCAGCTCGTTTTTGGTAGTGAGAAAACAGAAAAGTGGCTACTGATTTAGCAGAGCCTGTAGAAAAGAACATGGACAAGACGAGGTCCCTGGAAAGGCTGAAGCCATGGAGATGCTGGGCACCATGGAAGACGAGAGGCTGAAAATCTGGATCTGTTGGAATTCTGTACTTAGCTCTGAGGTCCCTTCACTGACCCTACACAGCAGCTGCTACACATTCTCTCATGCCTTTCTCCATTCCATTGCCAGCTTCCCTCATCTCGAAGAACACTGGAACTTTGTTCACTGGAGAAGGACTAGAGTTGCTCTGGAATCAGGGACACCAGACACAGTGGAATCTAGGGGTAAGAAGCAGGGCTAAAATGCAGATTAATGTAAAGCTGCATGCTGAACTGTGGGATCCTCAGCCCCCTTTGCCAGTAAAAGCCAGGCTCCACCCCTTCCACAGTCTCCCTGCTACCCCCCATTGGAGGAGTCTTCTCTGGAGAAACTACATGGCCCAAAGAAAAGGCACTGAAATTTATGGATAGTTGAGTGACGAATCAAGGCCAACGAGCCAAATGCCCTACACATCAGTCGTTATCATCCAAAGGGTAACTTCTAACACTAGAGGTTAATTTCACCCATTTTCGTACTTTACGTGAATAGAATCACATGTTGTATATTCTTTGTCTGGTTTCATTTGCTCAACACCGTGTTTGTGAGAGTCACTAATACTGTATGTAGCTGTAGTCTATTTTCATTGCTGTGCGTACTCCATCTTGTGATACAGCAATATTTATTTATCCATTCCATTGTTGATGAGCATTTGAATAGTTTCCACTTTGAGACTAATAGAAAGAGTGTTCTATGAACATTCTAGTATATGTCTTTGGTGAACATTTTGTATGCATTCCTGGTGGATATATACCTCGGGATGGGATTGCTCAGCTTTAGTAAATACTGCCAAATACTTTTCCAAAATAGTTGTACCAATTTATACTCTCACCAGAAGTGTCTGAAATGTCTGGGGCTTACTTATTATCTGGGTTAGTTTATTAGTTTTTCTTTATACTTAGGACTTTTTATCCCATGTAATCTATGCTATTTCAAGGTCATCAAAATTTTTCTTTCTTCTCAATGTTTTTGGGTGGTGGTTTTTTTCTGTTTTTTGTTTTGTTTTGTTTTGGTTTGTTTTTTTCCCACCTCTCATATTTAGAACTGAAAACCATCTGGACTGATTTTTGTGTATGTTGTAAATACCGGGTTGATAGGATATCCAAATGACCCAGCACTAATTTATTAAAAAGACCTTCATTTCCCCCACCCTGTCATAAATGAGGTGATGGTTGATGTGTGTGCCTGCATCTGCACTCAGTCTATTCCACTGTTAGTTTACCTATTCTTGCACCAAGAGCTACCTCATTGTCTTAATACTATAACTTTATAATAGGTTTTCATATTCAGTAACATAAATATTCCAGTTTACAACGTACATTTTTTCTTGTCAAAGTTTAATGTTAATTAATACCTCTACTCTCCTCCAAGATAGTCGAGTACTTTTACTTAGCTAACACTCAAAGTGTTATATTTTAACTTAGAATACTTTAACTCCACCCCCTTCCTGACCTGCTCTTGGGCATTTTAATCTTTTTTTTAAACCTCACAAATTATAAGTTTTTTAGTCTATATTATTAATACTCATTCAGATTTAGTCACATTTTCTGCTTTCTTTTGTTCTTGCTTTCTTTTTACATCTTTGCTTTTTGTCTAGAATCATTTTCTTTCTGCCTGAAGTTCAGCCTTGAGAATTTCCTTTAATATAGTCTGCTCGTGGCAAACTCTCTCAGTTTTTGTCTGAAAATGTCTTTGTTTTGCCTTCATTCTTGAAAGATTTTTTTTTTACTCTGTGTTGAATAACTTAGTTATCAATTATTTTCTCACAGAACTTCGAAGATTTCATTACACTGTCTTCTGGCTTACATTATTGCTGATGATCAGTTGGCTGTCATAATGCCACTTGTGTTAGTTATCAGATTTTGCCCCTGTATTTGTTAGCAATTGCTGAATAAGACCTCTAACACTCAGTGTCTAAAAATAAACATTTTTTAATCTCACATTTTTCATGGGTCCATAATTCAGAAGCTGCTTAGATGGGAGGCTCTGTCTCGGGATGAGTCCATATGAGGTGCTTGCAGTCCAGTTGTTGGCTGAGGCGGGAGTCATCTGAAGGCGGCTCACTCACGTGGCTGGTAAGATGATGCTGGTTATTCAGCTGGCATCCCTCAGAGCAAGCAATCAAAGAGTGTGCAAGAAAAGGAAATAACAAAATAAGAGTGTGCAAGGCAGAATGGCTTAGCTTCTGAAGTTACATACTATCATTTCTACCACATTGTATTCTTTAGAAGTGCGTTCACCTCACATTCAAGGGGAAAGGAATTAGTCTCCACTCCTATTAGAAGGAGGAGTGGGCATATTTTAAAACGATGGCCACTTTTAAGATTTTTCTCTCTATCTTTAGGGATTTTTTTTTTTCAGTTTTTACTATAATGTGTCTAGGTTTTCCTTTATACTGTTAGGGAATTATGTGAGTTCTTACATCTGTGATCTGGTTGCTTTCATAGGTACTGTAAAATATAAAGCTGTTCTCTCTTCAAATACTATCTCTGCCCCAGCTTCTCTCTTCTTAAACTTATGCTAGATCTTCTCACTGTATCATCTATACCTTTCATCCTGTCTTCTGTATATACCATCCTTTTGTTCCTTAATACTTCACTCTAGATAATGTCTTACCTACTTTCCATTTCATTTAGTTTCTACACAGTTATGTCTAATATGTTATATCATCCACTGAATTCTTAATTTTGTTATGGTAGAATTTCTATTTAGTTCTTTTTTATATCTGCTTTATTATTTTTTATAGTTTCCAGGCACCTGGCAAAACTGAGTTTTATTTTATTTCTTTGAACAAAGAAACTATAAATTGTTTTATAGTTTGCATCTGATAATTCCGAAAGAAATTGTTTTTGCAATTTCTATTTCTGTTGTTTGTGTTTCTGCTGAAAAGCTCACCCAGAAAGTCTAGTTTTCTTGTGTATCTGTTTATCTTTAACTCTGTACTTAACATTTCTCTGAAAATTTATCTGTAGAAACAATTTAAGGTCTGTGATTATAATGCTTTCTTCCAGAGAGGATTTGTATTTGCTTTTGCCTGGGATCTGGTGGCATCAGTCAGAGACCACCTAAAACCAAGACCAAGGCCTGAGACAGACAATTTAACCCCAGCCTGGAAATTCCTCTCAAGCTATTCCATTTCCAATTCATCCTCACCCTAAGGGTGTAGCCCTTGGGGGTCCCAGTTATTGTACAAAAGGTCTTCTATTTCACTCCCTTCCCTCCCTTCTCCCCTCCCTTCCTTCCTTTCTTCTTTGAAGTGCAAAAGGAAGATCATCATTTTTCAGCTAGGTAAATGTCTCAGGGTAAAAGCATCTTCCAGTGTTCCAAGTTGGATTACCTTTCTGGATCCTGGCTTTCTAGCCTTTGGTCTGGTATTCTTTATCTTCCCATCTCTTAGACACCTTGTTACAGAATGAATTGTGTATCCCCAAAATTCATATGTTGAAACCCTAACCCCCAGTATCTCAGAATGTGACTGTATCACATACTTTGGTGATTAAACAATCATTTTAAAGAGATAATTGAGTTAAAATGAGGCATTAGGGTGTGCTCTAAACCAATCCGACTGGTATCCTTATAAGAAATTTGGACAGAGACACACCAGGGCAGGCGAGCACACAGCACAAAGACCCAGGGAGGACACAAGGTGAAGGCAGTTATTTGCAGCCAAGAAGAAAGGTCTCCAGAGAAATCAACTCTGCTGACACCTGGACCTTGGACTTTTGGCCTCCACAACTGTGAGAAAATACATTTCTGTTCTTTAAGCCGCCCAGTTAGTGGAACTGTCTGACAGCCCTAGTAAACTAACACATTTAAAAACATTATAATAGATATATTCCAGACTTTTGCCTTTTATTAGTATTGTTTTCTGAAGTGGGTTGATATAAATATCCTAGCCCACAATTACCAGAGATAGGAGTTCCAGTTATCCTCTGTACCCCACTCTACAGGCCGCTTCCCTTTTCCTAATAGCCCTTATCATCACCTGGGATATTAGCTATTCTTCTATTTATTTACCTATTTAATCTCACCGGAATTAAGATCCAAGAAAGCAGGGACTGCATTTTGATAACTGTTGTATGCTCAGATCCTGTAACAATCAATGCATGTCAAATCTTGGGTACTAAGGAGATAGTTGGTGAATGAATGAATGAATGAATCAATGACAGAGAAGGGGTTTCCCCACCTGGAGAGCTGGCAGTTCATGTGGTCTCTCCCAGCCACTGCCAGGAAATGAGGCAGGTCCTCCTGGGTGCCCGCTGCCCCTGGGTCTGGGCCGTCCCCCGGGGGTCGCGCTCCACATAATCCGGGTTCCGGGTCTTCGCTCGCGCCCCACATCCCTGGAGCCGGCGGGCTCCTGGGCAGACCTCGTGGGCGGAGCCAGCAGCTGGGCGGGCCGAGCCCACCGGAAGGCTCGCAGGCTGCCGGCAGGGGGGCCAGACGCCCGCGTGGGTGGGCCGCACCCTGGGCCCCGCTGGGACCCGCTAGGGCGATCCGTGGTGCGGGCAACTGCGGAGAAGCGTCTTGAGGCAGGGGCGCTAGGAGACGCCGGGTTGCGGCCCAAGAGGCGGCGCTCTGGTTGACCTGGCCTTTGCTGCCGCCGGGGCTTTAAAGCCGCAGCCTGCGAGGTGTATCCTTGTCTAGGTCTGCGGGAAGCTGGTTCAGGGAACCCCGCATCGCGGCTCCCAGAGCCCCGCTTCTCGGTGTACCGCTGCGGCTGCGAAAGGCCACGCTGGAGGGTTAGGGTTCATCAGGAGCGACAGTACCACCCTAGGCCGCCTGTGCTTGAGAATTGCGAGGAGACCCACTTCCAGTCTGGAGGCCGACGTGAACGTTGGGCGTGTTTTGAGCGGGGATGTGGTCTGTCTATAGAAGGCTGGGTAAAAACAAAATCTTTTACCAGTCCTCCACTAAAGAGACATCCTGTGGAGCTGAAAGCCTCAAGAGCCCGCGCTCTCACGCCCCCGTCTCTGGTCCTACCGGCGTCCGCGGCCGATCTGGTGAGTAGGAAGCTTCTTCACTGCCTGTGTCGTCCGTCTTGAAGTCCGAGCGAGGCAGGTCTGGGAGCAGTGAGAAGGGGCTTCTTCCAGATGAATCTTCTCTGTCATTAACCATTTAATAAATTTCTCCACTTTGATAACAAGACATTTACTTTTTATATATTAAGAAGCAGGATATTTCCCACATGCTGCAATCGGTTAGGATGTAGCTCCCTTTCTCTGCATCAGTCCCAGATGAAAACAAGAGATGCCCATAAAACACACACCCTTCCCCACAAACTTCATAAAATTGGGCCAGCCTCCTTTTACGGAGCTGGGACTGATTTGGGGGCCCCCAGATGCACTGGATCTGATTGCCGTGTAGAGACCTACATGCTCAGATGCCATGGGGTCAGATGAGATAGACAATGTATTTGAGGTTTTTTTCCTCCAAAATAGCCTATTACTAACAGTTCTACAGTAGTCTTCATTATACTAGAAGAACTATATTTCCTCCATTCATAGGCATACTGCGCTCCCTCAGTTTTAACATTTTTGAAACCAGGATACATCTTAACAGAGAGGTTAAAATAACTTGCCAGCTGCTAGTCATCCACGTGGATGGTCATGTGTCTGTCACTTGCTTGCCCGTGTGAAAATACAGCTATGTGATTATTCCATCAGTTGAGATACTTGAACTTTAAATTGAGATCTCGTTTTAAAAAAAAAATAACAAAAAAATAATGTTATGGTACAGCATTAAAAGGTTTATATTAATGTTTATTAAAGTTTTATGGTGTATCCTACACCGTCTCAATTAATCAACATTACAATGCTATGAAGTACAATTATTATTCCTATTTTATAGATGAAGAAACTGAAGCTCAGATAGCTGAAGTGCTATAGAGCTTTTAAGCGCAAGGGTCAGGATTCTAACCTAGGCAGTCTGATTTTAAAGCCTGCCCTCTTTCAAATCTGTATCCAGGCAGAAGATGCATGCAGCTTATAGGGAGGGAAGTCAATGCAGGGTCAGTGGACGGCTGAGTATTTTTGGCTGTTTGTGTATGTGTGTATGGAACTGGGAGAGAGAGACACATCCAAGAGCATTGATTGTACTTATTCCCACATTGATGTCAAATCTTTGTTTTTGGATCTTTTGCAGTTTTAAATATATTTTTGCAAGTCCTGGTGTTCTGGCTGTATGAGGGTGCTCTTGGAGCCCTCCTCTCCTGCTTGGTGCTCTGCTAGAAGAAGAGAGAGGCATGCACTCAAACCTGCCCAGCCGGCTGCCTCCCAAGGAGATGGTGCTTAATTTAAGAGAAGAGTCAGTTTTGCAGAGTTGTTAAAGTCACACCAGCCTCGAGGAGCCTCCAGGTTCTGGTGCTGCAGGAACATGCCAAAGTCCTGAGGGCAGGAGACTTATCAGAGGAGGACCACGCAACTGTGAAGCCTCTCAGCAGAAGTTCTGGCAGTTTCCTCGGCAGAGGTGGACAGGCGCAGTCGGGGAGTCATCATCATGCTGCAGCAGCTTTTGATCACTCTGCCCACTGAGGCCAGCACCTGGGTGAAGCTGCACCACCCACAGAGGGCCAAGGAGGGGATGCCCCTGTGGGAGGACGTGACTAAGATTTTTGAAGGAGAAGGTGAGAACAGACCGGTGGAGGTGGGGACGGAAGGAGAAAGAGGAAATCTCATCTGTGTGTGAAAAGATAGGCACACTTCATTGTTCTGGTCTCTTGGAGAGAAAATTGGGGGAAAGCAGGTCTCGGGGGTTCATGCTTGTGGCTTTTGGGAAGTGGATAGCTGTGAGAGTTCTGGAATTCTGGCAGTCTGAACCGTGCTTCTGGACACCTCCTCTCCTGCCTTTTTGCTCCTCCAGAAGAATTTAAAGGCATGCACTCAAACGTACTCAACTGGCTACCTCCCAAGGAGGTGGTACTTAATATTGTGCTCCCCGCACAGGCTCCTTGCTGAGGTGTGCTCCGTGCTGCCCCTACTGCTCCCATCTCCTGTCCTCAGATACTGCGCACAACATAAGACATTTCCCATTCGGGGCTCCTGAGTGTGTAAATGTGATTCATGGACAGCAAAGTCAAAGCCTTTAGGACCAGTGGTTTTCTTTCACAAGTTTTAGTCGTTTTAGCCCCAACCCAGTATCAGTTCTTTCATTTCATCTTCTGCTGAAAGGAAGGAATGCTTTGATTAATCGCCTTTTATCTTAAACTATATGGGTTCAGTGTGAAAATATCCAAGATTACACATTACTTAGTGATCTGGTCCAGATAGTTCGATGGATGGGGGAATTCTTGTGTTTTGTGTGATCTTTTTATTCATACCTTTAACACTTTAGATTCAGCCAATATTTACTGTATTATAGCTGTGTCAGGCAGGACTTTACCAAGCATCTTGAGAGAGAGAAAAATGAATACTGATCTCTAATGCTGATTATTAATTGATAGAGATAGACATACCCAGATCAAAATAATAGAAGGTAACCTAGGAAAATGCTATGGTAAAGTTCTTTGGAAGACAAGAGATAGGAAACACTTTTCCAATTGTACTTACCTGAGAAATTTTCACAAAGCAGGTAGCATTGAATTGGGCCTTGAAAGATGCCTAAGTTTTTTATAGAAGGTTCAGAGAATGAAGACTATTGTAGTCTGAGGTCAATGTTTGTGTCCAACAGAAAAGGAATGGATAGTGATTAGAGGAAACCAGAGCTGGACATACATGCTTCAGGTAGACTGTAGAGTGTCTTGAAGTCCATGGGAAGTGGCTGGACATTTTTTCTTGTTGGAAATCTTTGAACAAAGGAGAGGCTTGGTAGACCTGTGCATTTGGACCAACATTGACCATTGGGAAATACTAATGTCCAAAACAGAGCACTGCAGGTTTTCCTCATGCAGAAGGCTCCAGTCTGTGCTTGAGTCATTCTAAATGCCTCTCTTTGTGACTGTATTGAGAGAGGAGCCATGTTCAGCAGGTCTGCAGGCAGCTTTTCAATTTGGGGGTTTGGGGAGATGCAAACCTCATGGCTCTTTTCCTTTCCCAGCTCTGCTACCTCAGGGTGCTGATGAGACCCAGGGAGAAGGTTTAAAGGATGAAGGGACCTCTGGGGCTCGAACAGCAGAATCCCAGGTGGGTTTGAGTTTCCTCTCATTTTTTTGGCATGCTTATTGGTTTTTAAAGCTATAACTTGCCCCCCCCCCCTTTTTTTTTGAAGTAGGATGTTGTTGAGGCTAAGAAATACAACCTAGGGAGCTCAGAGCACATTGCTGTTGTGCAGAAAATGGAGCCACAGTGGTAGCAATTTACCTGCTCACAATATAAATTATACCTTCCTCAGTGTAACTCTTGTTTCTAATCAATATCTAGATCTAACATTGTGCTAATTTCTGTAAAGAAAGCAAAATGAATGATATAATTCTAGTCTCTAAAAACCAACAGATACCACTTGGGATCTAAGATAAGCCTTTTTTTTTTTCTTTTTTTGAGTATTTCATACTAAAAACAAACTTTGTAAATGAGAATAAAGTTCTGACATTCTTAGTGATGTACACATATCACTTGTGAACTTCATGAGGTGATGCTTAGAGTATTGGGAGCAGAGGTCAAACTGCAGCCAAAAAAGTGAGAAGAGAAGACATGCTCAGGCCACACAGTGCACAAGTTAGCCTGGGCAGATATAGCAGGGTGCCAGAAAAGGGTGTCCTCACCGCCTGGCGAAAGGATAGGTGACACAGAAGGAAAATTGTTGAATAAAAGGCAAAGGAGACAATTAAAGAGGAAATGTTATTTGAGAATGGCGGAGTTTTAAGTAAAATAACTTGGGTTCTGAAATTAGGTGGTACAGGATTTGAATTTATCTCTTGAATTTACTTGGTGATCTGTCACAATATTTTTTTGCTTTTTATAATCCAAGTTTCCTCAGCTAGTTGAGATACTAATACTTCCCAAGGTTGAAATGCAGTCCAGAGTTACTTATAGAAATACGGAAGAAGTAGTAATCTAATTATTTAAAGGGTTATCTCTGCACTCCACCTTTCTAGAATTCCTCACTTCTTTACATTTATCAAAAACTGATGGGATTCTTAGTCCTGGGAGAAGATTACATTTTTTTAAAATATAGGATAAAATACTTGTGAAAGTGCACAGTTCTATTTTGAAGTACGTGTACACCATCTAATCAAATCAAGATAGAGAGCATTTCCACTGTCTCAGAAAGTTTCCTCATGCCTCCCGTCAAACTCTGCTTTGCCCCTAGTAGAGAGTACATGGGATCTCCATTTATATCTTATAACTGCATGTGAATCTATCTCAAAACAGATTTTCATGTAAAATTCTCTCAAAATAATTTAATTTTAAAAAGGATGTATATTCTGTAATGTTCTATAAATAAATGTCAGTTAGGTTAAGTTGGTTAATAGTTCAAAGCTATATCCTTGATGAATTTTTGTCTAATTGTGTCAGTTACTGAGAGAAGAATGTCAAAAATCTCTAATTGTTTGACTTTGTCTATATCTACCTTTAGTTCTGTTAATTCTGCTTTATTTTGAATTGTGTTATCAGATGCATAAACATGAGATTGTTGTCTTCTTGATGAACTGACCCTTATCAGTATGAAATGTCTCTTTATGCCTAGTAATATTCCTTTTCCTGAAGTCCACTTTGTCTGATTTAATATTGCTCCTCAATTTTCTTTTAGTTATTGTTTGCATGGTATAACCTTTCCCATTTTTTTACTTTTCACCTATCTTTGTCTTTATATTTAAAGTTTGACCTCCTTAAATATAGCTGAGTCTTACGTGGTTAGTCCATTTACAGTTAACATGATTATTGATGTGGTGGGATTTGGGTATATATTCTTGTTCTTTGTTTGCTGTTTGTCCCATCTATTCTTTGTTCCTCTTCTCCTGCCTTCTTTTGGGTTGAATAGATTTTTCGTATTCCATTTTATGTCCCTAATGACTTTTAAGCTATACTTCTTTTCTTGTTTTTAGTGGTTGCTCTAGTCATTACAATGTACACTTTTTACATAGCACAGTTGCTTTGAATTAATATTAGTTTCACATATAATATGAAAGTCTTATATTTCCACTTACTCTTTTCCACTCTTTGTGTATTGTCATAATACTTTTCATTTTATATGTTATAAATCCCACAATACATTGTTCTTATTTCTGCTTTTAACAGTAAATTGTGTCATAAAAAAATTAAGGAAAAAAAAGAAAATGAGTCATTCATATGTGCCCACATATTTACCAATTCTGGGACTCTTAAGTCCTTCAGTTCTGAGTTTCTCTCTGACATCATTTCTCTTCACCCTAAAGAATGTTGTTTAGCGTATCTTGTAGTATGGGTGTCTGGATGACAAATTCTCAGATAGCTTTTTTGTTGATCTAAAAATGTCTTTATATCCTCTTTCTATATGAGGATCTTTTGCTGGATACAGAATTCTAGATTGACTGTTCTTTCTTTTAAGCATGTTATAGATGTTCCATGATCTTTTACCTTGTATTGTTTAGGGTGAGAAGTTAGCTGTTATTCTTATTGTTTGCATATATGTGGTATGTCTTTTCCCTCCCTCCCTCCCTCCCTTCCTTCCTTCCTTCCTTCCATGTTTTTTGGCCACTTTTATGATCTTCCCTTTTAAGTTTGCTCTTCAGCACTTTTACTATGAAGTGCATAGGCATGGCTTTCTTTGAATTTGTTCTTTTTGGGGCTTGCTGAGCTTCTTGGATCTGTGGGTTAATTTAGGAATATTTTAGCCTTTATTTCTTCAAATATCATTTTTGCCCATTCTCTTATCTCCTTCTAAGATTCTTATTACATATATTTTAAACCACTGGATACTATCCAGATATTTTTCTCTTGGTGCTTCAGTTTTAATAACAGCTACCTACCTGTTTTAAGTTTCACTAATCTGGTCTTTATCAGGGTCCAGTGTGCTATTAAGTCCATCTAGTGGATTTTTCAGATACTATATTTTTCAGGTGTAGTAATTTTCATTTAGTTCTTTTTTTAGCATTTCTATTTCTCCCCTCAGTTACCACCAAGTTTTCACCTCTTCTATATTTTATTGTAAATTCTTTAACATATTTTAATAATTGCATTAGTTTTCTTTGCTCATTTCAATGACTTGGTCAACTATGGGCATGCTTCTAATGATTATCTTCATAATTATAGGTCAGATTGCACTCTTTATTTACATGTCTAACAATTTTTATTGTAGGTTAGATTATTGGGTATAAGAGAACAGTGGAAGATTAAATAGGTATACAAGGTCTGTCCAGAAAGTATCCATCCATCTACTATGCAAAAGAGACATTTATTGAAGAAGATACAAGATACAAGAAACATTGTACATAGGACAATAATGCCTCAGTCCCCTTCAAAGTAGGCACCTTGGGAACTGCAGACAGTTTTCCAAACGGCTATCAGTTGCCCTGTTTTATTTTCCTGAATCACACTCACAGTCTGAAATTTCTTCCTTTTCAATGGTGATTTTAGTTTTGGGGAAAGTCAGAAGTCACAGGGTGTCAAATCTGGGTTGTAGGGGGGCTGAGTCACCTGGATGATTTGATGTTTGGCCAAAAAACTCTGTGTAAGACGTGATGCATGAGTGGGCATGTTGTCATGATCAAGCTGCCAATCACCAGTTGCCCATAGCTGTTGCCTTCTGAATCATCCGAATAGTTTCCACAGAAGAATGTTCAAGCTTAATGCAAAATTTGATGCAGATTTGTTGCTCTGCTTGCTCCGTCATTTTGAATGCAATGACCACACAGTACACATGCTCACACAACAGCATGTACTGCCCCCACTGACTAGTACAGTGAAGTAGTCATTGTTCATGCATGCACATTCCAGTCCACTCTCCTTGGCTGCCAGGCTATATCAATTTCACACAAACTGTTCTCCTTATATTAATAATGGCTGGAGTTTTTCCAGACACACCTTGTGCATTATAGTTTGTTTCATTCTGTTTATTTTCAAGAGACTCTAGGCCCTCCCCTTTAGTGGTTAAGGTGGGGTACTGATTATTCATATTCCTCCTAGAGCTGCGGCTAAGCTCTGGCTGAGACACAGCACTGACTGAGTTCACTTGTTAATCCAGCTGCCAGTGCCGCATGACACTATTGTGGACGGGCTGATCTTTTTTTTAATCTCCTCAGTGTTTGAGCCAGGAAGGGGTTAGACTACAGTTCCAGAGAGTTTTATTCATCTTTGCATTTAACTCCAGCAGGGCCTCAGAATTTAAGCTCAGCAGGACTGCATTTCCTTTGTGACAATACTAAAAGCTTCTATTCTCTCTTCCTGTGCTCCCTGGGCCTCATCTTCTTCCACTGTCCTCTTCACTAACATGCCTCCAGTGATGCTGTTCACTCTCCTGCTCCTCACAAAAGCAAATGACAGTCTCACCTTAGTTCCTTTGTGCTTGCCTAGAATACCCTTCCCTTAGATTTCCACAAAACTGAATTCACTGAATTCACATCTCTGGTCTTTTAGAGAGGCCTTCCCCACCAGCCTACATATAAGATCATCCGTACCCTCACTGTGACTCTCCCTAGTCCCCCTATCCTGCTTAATTTCTTCGAAGGCACATATGACCATCTACCCTTCTATGTATTTAATTATTTATGGTAATTTCCAGAGACTCTCCAAACAGATCCAGAGTTGGCTCCCAGTAAAACTAGTTTAGAATTGTTCAGAATTTAGAATACACTCGGAACTCCATGGGCCTTAGTGGAGGTGGTTTGTGGCTAAAAAGCAATGTGTTTGACATTCTAGGAACAATTGACCTTCAAGGACATATCTGTGAACTTCACCCAGGAGGAGTGGAGGCAGCTGACCCCTGCTCACCGGAACCTGTACCGGGAGGTGATGCTGGAGAACTATGGGAACCTGGTCTCCGTGGGTGAGGATGGGCTAAACCCTTATCCAGAAACCCACCCATTGCGGAAGAGTCATTATTTCTAAATTATTAAATGTCATGGATTCCCTGGATTTTGGCCTTGGGTTTTGTATTAGAGATGTCTTCTTTCTCTGAGTATCAAGCTAGGGCATATCTGAGTCTCCTTCCTTTACTTTGTAGAGCTAAAACACAAAGACATGCTGTGGTGCTTCTTTCTATTTTCAGAGGTCCCAGGACTGGAAATAAATGTTGGGGATAGTTCTTAAACCTCAACATAAACATTCATACTCTTTTTTTACTTCATAAGCAGGATATGAACTTTCCAAACCTAGGGTGATTTCCAAGTTGGAAGAAGGAGAAGAGCCATGGATAACAGAGAAAGAAGGCCCAGGACATTGCAGTTCAGGTGAGCCCAGAATCTTCTTAGGCTGAGGCCCCTGGACGGGGCACACACTAAACCCAATTTCACCCCTCTCTCTGCCTCTCCTTTCCTTTACTTGACCTTGCAAACGTCACTCTGGAAGGGAGAGAAGGCTTGTCCTCATTAAGATTAAACTTGATTTTCCCTCTTTCTTCAGTATTCTGAAGTCAGCCAATTGAAAGTTCCTTTCTCTGTTCAGTCAAATGTACATGGTCTCTCCTCACAAAAACCAGATCTCTGTTGAGGATTTGCATGCTACGAATGTTTAGTTTTCTCTTTCATGCTGTTTCCACTTTCACCATCTTTTATTTTTTTTAAAAAATTTTTTTAATTTATTGATTTTAGACAGAAGAAGGAGGGGTGGGGAGAGAAAAAAACATTGATTTGTTATTCCATTTATTTATGCATTCATTGGTTGATTCTCGTATGTGCCCTGACCAGGGATCGAACCCGCAGTCTTGGTGTATCAGGATGACACTCTAACCAACTAAGCTACCTGGCCAGGGCCACCTTTCATTTTATAATCCCAGCTTTGATCCTCACTCTTTTTAACTCACATATCTTAATTTTTTGTAACAACTACATTACGAAACTTTTGTAAGAGAAATTAACACAGGATCCATTCTCAAATTCAGTGGTCTTCCAACAATTTCCTTTAACTTTTTCACATTATGAAATATTTTTGATGTTCAAAAAGGCATAGAGAGCATTATAGCAAGTTTCTATGTGGCTTCCATCTCAATTGAGAACTAAAACAGAGTTGAAGCCTTGTTTCCCTTCCCTCCTACCTTATGAAGTAACCAAGCCTTCTGAGTTTAAATATTAATATTCTCATATGTGTCTTCATGCTTTTCCTACATGTATATATCCCTACACATATAGCATTGTTTTGCATGTTCTTATTCTTTCACTTACTTTTCTCATTCAACACTTTATAATTATCCATGTTTATTCATTTCCATTGAATTAATAAATCACAATTTATCCATTTTCCTGTTGATAGACTTTATACTGTTTCTAAATTTGGGAGGTAAAGATGCTACAGTAAATCTTCATGTATATATACTCTTGTGTATATATCCAAGTGTTTCTCGGAGATGTTTGGAAGAAGCAAAATTGTTGGGTCATGGAGTATATGCTTCTTCCTTTTGCTAGGTGTGACCCAATTGCTCTCGGTTGCACCCATTTGTATCACATCAGCAGTTTTTAAGAGTTTCCAGAACTCTGCATCTTTGCTAACATTTTGGCATTGACAACTTTCACATTTTTGTAAATTCAGAGGGTGAATATAATATCTTATTTCTTTCATTTTCCTGATTACTACTGAGAGGGAACATTTTTCATGTTTATTGACCATCCGGGATTCCTCTTCTGTTAATTACTTATATATATCCTTTCCCAATTGTTCTGTTATTGTTTTTCTTTTTTAATTGATTTATAGAAAAGATACATATTATCCTGCATTTTTTTAAAATTTTGCTTTTCATATCTAAGTTCAATTCACTTGGAATTTATTTTATATATAGTGTTAACTGTGTATCTAGTTTAATATTTTCCATATGGATAATCAGTCTAAGAATCATTTACAGTTTGTTATAGTTATTAATAGTTATTTATTAGTAGTTAATGGCACTGTATCACCTGTCAAGTTCATAATGCTTGGGCCTGTTTCTGGGCTCTCCAGGCTGTCTTAATTACTGTATTTCACAGTGAAACTTTATATCTGGTAGAGGTAGATCACCCACATTGTTCTTTAAAATTTTCCTGTCTTTTCTTAGCCCCATGCTTTTCCATATGAATTATATAATGAGTGCATACAATAGGTATAGATACATAAAATGCATCAAAATTATATAATGTGCATCACACACACTGACAAATACTCTGATTAGTATTTTTATTGGAACAGAATTGAAATTCTAGGTCAATTTGGGGGGATTAATATTATGATATTGAGTCCTACCACTTAGGAACATGGTGTATTGCTTTGTTTATTAATATTTCCTTTTTTTCATTTTTTCTTAGATTTTAGTTTTTATCTATCATTTTAATTTATTGGAATGACACTCGTTCACAAAACCATACTTTCAACCTAATTCAACCTAATTTTTTTTTAATGAAGTTTTAGGATTTTCCCCATAAAGGTCTTGTGCATATTCTATCTCTTTTGTCAGATTCATCTTGAAGACCCTATATTTTGTTGCTATTGTAGATGGTATATTTTTAAAAATTATGTTCTCTGAGAGAGAAGCATCAATTGGTTGCCTCCTGCACACACCTGCAACCAAGGTATGTGCCCTGACTAGGAATCAAACCTGCAGACTAGTGTATGGTATGATGCTCCAACCAACTGAGTCAGCCAGCCAGGGCTGTTTACTGTCTCTTTAATTTCCCATTACCTCTCCAGGATGCATAACTATATTTACATTTAATTAAAATCTCATGTACTTCATATGTGTTGTCTAAATCTCTATTCCATATACACTACAGTAATTGAGTTTCTAAAGCACAAAGAATATGAGTTATTTGTTTTTTTTCCATTTCTTTCAGACTTGAGTAAAGCAGAAACCAATATGTCAACTGCAAAGAATGATATTTTACAGGAACAGTTATATCAAGGCATCATGATGGAAAGGTTCATGAGGGATGATGTCATTGATTCCACATTGAGAAAAGTCTCCAGATATAATGATGAGTTAGAAAGGCATCAGGACACCCATGGAAGAAATGTAAGACAAGCCATCTTGACCCATAAGAAGAGAGGCCAAGAAACTAACAAATTTGGGGAAAATATTGTGAGTTCAAATGTTATTATAGAACAGAGGTACCATAAATATGACACACTTAGAAAGAGGAACAAATACAAATTAGATCTGATTAATCATCCGAGTTATATAAGAACAAAAACCTATGAGTGTAACATATGTGAAAAAATCTTCAAACAACCCATTCATCTTACTGAACACATGAGAATTCATACTGGGGAGAAACCTTTCCGATGTAAGGAGTGTGGTAGGGCCTTTAGTCAAAGCGCATCTCTTAATACCCACCAGAGAATCCATACTGGTGAGAAACCCTTTGAATGTGAAGAATGTGGCAAAGCTTTCAGACATCGCTCCTCTCTTAATCAGCATCACAGAACTCACACTGGGGAGAAACCCTATGTATGTGATAAATGTCAGAAAGCTTTCAGCCAGAACATTAGCTTGATCCAACATTTGAGAACTCATTCTGGAGAGAAACCCTTTACATGCAATGAATGCGGGAAAACCTTTCGACAAATTCGACACCTTAGTGAACATGTAAGAATTCATACTGGGGAGAAGCCCTATGCGTGCACTGCATGTTGTAAAACCTTTAGTCATAGAGCATATCTAACACATCACCAGAGGATCCATACTGGGGAGAGACCTTACAAATGTAAAGAATGTGGGAAAGCCTTTAGGCAGAGGATCCACCTTAGCAATCATAAAACTGTTCATACAGGAGTGAAAGCATATGAGTGCAACCGCTGTGGAAAAGCCTATAGGCATGACTCATCCTTTAAGAAACATCAGAGACATCACACTGGAGAAAAACCTTATGAATGTAATGAATGTGGAAAAGCCTTCAGCTATAATTCATCACTTACTCGGCACCATGAAATACACAGGAGGAATAACTTCAGAAATAATGTGTAAAAACAGATTATCCAACATGAGAACAAAAGCCAAGTCTAAATCAGTGATTCTGTGCTTTTAAATAGAGCTCTAAATTTGAGTTATCGATACAATGATACCAACTTCTAATTTTGCCAATTGTATAAACACTACATTGATAACTGTTATCTACTGTCACCTCTATACAAAGTACTTAATCAAGAATAAAGGATGGTTCTTCCAATTCAGCAATCTGGAAAATTCACACATTATTTTTCTGATTTCATGGTGAATTAATAAATAATTCTTCATGGGCATTCACTGATTTACAGGTAAGCTTTTAGGAACTACTGTTTAAAATGTAACCACCCCCCATGTTTTAAATTAATTTATTTTTAATGGGGAAAACTTGCACATGGCACAAAGTTCAAAAGGCACAGACAGTTCTATAAGTGAGAAGTATCCTTCCTTCATTCCCACCATCAAATTCTACCTAAAGGCAACAATTTTTTATAACTAAAAATTTTTTTGTGTACCCTTTCAGAGAATTTTCTATTTATATCCTAGAGAATACAAATATACAGTTTTTCTTTTTAAGCATAAATGGCAACCTCCTATACAAGTGCATTTGCACATTACTTTTATTACTTAACCATATACCATGGAGGTCATTCCATATTAGTAGATAAATTGCCTACTTATTCTTTTTACAGCTGCATAATATTCCCTGTTCTATATGTACATTTTTTTAGCTAGTCCACTATGGATGGGCTTTTGGATTCCCAATATTTCGTTTATATAATATTGCAATGAATAGGCTTACAAATTTTCATTTCTCACACATGCAAGTATATATGTAAGATACATTCCTAAAACAGGAATTTCTGTGCTAGATGGTGTATGTGTTTGTATAATGGATATTGCCAAGTTGATCTTCATAGTTGTTGGACCAATTTATTTTCCACCAGCAAGATATAAAACTTCATATCTGGTGCTAAAGCATCTCTTAGACCAACGTATATATCGGCCATCAAAGAAGTATCAGCTTGTCTCAGTAACAGCCTAGAAATACCAGCTGAGCTGCATCCCCAGAAAAATCAGCACTTACCATCCCTGGAGCCAGAGAGGAATCTGCACTTTATCTAATAGCAGCCAAGCCCATCAAAGTTTTAGCTGGAGAAAGAAAGGACATTTTTCCATCAACTGCTCTAGTCCCTGGGGGAGAGAAAAGAAACAGGACACAACTTTCTAATTAATAAACAATGTATGAGAGCATTAATTAGTTACCACTGTTCATTATGTTGTGAAAACTGAGCAAGGTCAAGACTGCAGTGATTTTGTATGTGTTTATTTTTTAATCTGGTAAAACTTTATTAAAGTTTTTATGACATTCCACTTACTTTTCTCCTTCCTATGTAGGCTCTGACTGAACTAAATATACAGGGGTGGGCAAAAATAGGTTTACAGTTATGAATACTTGGAACAGTTTATTCTTGTATTATTTATTTGAGTTAAAACTATAAACCTACTTTTGCCCATGCCTGTATAAGTTGGAACCCTTTAGGTTGCAAATAACAGAAATTGACTGGGGATATTTAAGTCTCAAAGGGGTGTTATTAGGTACTGAGCTAGCTCATGTAATCCAGGGGATGCAATACATCCTAACAGTGGAGTGGGACCAGGACCTTTCAGTTCACAGAAAGACACCCTGAGCAGAACGATTGAGCTATACCAGTCAGGGCTATATTCTTTTTCATACTAAGTCTTCAAAATACAGTATGTACTTAAAGTTACAGCATGCCTCATTTTGGACTAGCCACATTTCAAGGGCTTAAGAGCCCATGTAGCTAGTGGCTATTGTGCTGCACAGTGAAACTCTAGAGAGAACTCATATATAGATAAACACTCTTGTTATAAAGATAAACACTTATATGGTAGACTGTAATCAGTGTGGTGTTAGAGGTACAAATTCTGTATCTGAAAGAGTAAGGAAGGAAAGATTGAAAAAGGAGAAAACAGACCATTTTCATTTAATAGTACCTCCTTTGTGCCCTGGCTGGTGTGGCTCAGTGGACTGAGTGACAGCCTGCAAACCAAAGAGTCACTGGTTTGATTACAGGCCAGGGCACATGCCTGGGTTGCAGGCCACATCCCCAGTTGTGGGTGTGTGAGAGGCAACTGATCCATGTTTCTCTTCCTCTTCTTCTTCCTCCCTTCCCCTCTCTAAAAAAATTAAAATAAAATCTTCAACCAACCAACCAACCAGTATTTCCTTTCTTACAGATATCTCTGGGGATGGAAACAATCAGTGAATTTGCCTTAGATGATCAGACTTTTTAGGATAGCCTTTTGAGGAAGGGGTTCTTTTCTTTCTCCCCCCCCCCCAATTTGAGTCCTATTTGAGAATGGAAGTTTTGGGGAACATTGTTCTGCTGTCTTGGATATTTCTTTTCCTCACAGATTTCATGATTGCTTCTGAATCTCTTCTGCTTCACTCTACCCAGCAGCATTTCCCCTCAACTCCCAACTCCATTTAAAGATACGTCAATGTGTGAAAGGGTTGAGAAGGGGCTTTCCTGGCACTGGGAGTTACATCCTGGTGAAGAAAGGTTATACTAGGGAGGAGGCTGAAACCTCCAGCCTCAGCCCAGCAATGCCTACTCATATTTCACTTGATTAGAAGGTTTTCCTTAACTCCCACATTTCCAAGAACAAGGACAGTTTCCTTTACAACCACAAAATATCACACCTGGGATATTTATAATGGATGCTATTATATAATACATGATTCACATTTAAATTTTCCCACCTGACCCAAAATTTCTTTTGTAGTTTTTAAAAACATTTTTGCATTTTTATTTAAGAATTGTTTTTCTATTCTTAAGTCCAAAAGGTATTTTCTACTATTATCTTCTAAAAACTTCATAGTTTAGTGTAAAGGAAGTCAGAAATGCAACATACCTCCATCAGTACAGGCATCTGGGAAAGGCTGGACTCTGATTAACCTTGTGTAACTTAACTCTGTAGCCTCAGACTCGGCTGACTACCCAGAAAGCCGGAATACCGCCCAAAGATAAACGACAGGAAAGAACATAATGAATGTATAGAGTGTGGATAACTGCTTGATGTTAACTGTTAACTTAGAAATGCATCGTTCTTTCTGGTGGTCTAGGTGACTACCCACCATATGGTTTTACTATTAACCTCCTATAAAAGAAGAGACCCTGTCCGGGGAGGGAGTGAATTTTTTCCCAGCGGGGCTACCACTGGGAGCAAGCAGGTGCTTTGCCAGTGTATGTTTCTCCTGTTAAAGCTCTTACGAGTTTGAATCAGAATCTACCCTGAATTTAGACTTTGGGGCTTTCCCTAATATTTAGCATTTCACATTTAGGTCTTTAATCTTTCTGGAATTGATTTTCGTGATGAAGTCAGTCTCATTTTGTATACATTTAATAAGGATACCCTATTGTCACAGAACCATCATTGAAAAGGCCATCTCTTCTCCGTTATGTAATTCCACCTTTGTCATAAATCAAGTTTCCAAATATGTGATAAAACAGTGAAGAAAATGATTGTCATAAAAGTCAGGCTTGTGACTTCCTCAGGAAGGAGGCATGGGAGTGTACTTAGGAAGGGCCTGAAACTTTATTTTTGTTTTAATGATATAACGTCTGCTCAATAATTATTTACACTTACCTCAATTTTATTACTCAAAATATAATTGAATTTCCCAATTAAAAAACTTAATTAAAAAGTAAATAGAAAAGAGAAATACATTGATGAGACAAGTGCCAGCATGAAAAGTGAGTTCGTGGTTGTCCTCTCCGCTGGGAATGCTGGTACGAGGTGCAGAGGGGGATACAGCATCCAGCGTGGCAAAGCGAAAACGCAACACTTAGCTATGCTCCGGAGAAAGGGACGTGCTCACACCTTTCTCGGACGCTGGCATAACAGTAGCCAGGAAACCTCGCCAGAGCAGGGGCTTCAACGTCCAGTGACAGCACAGTTCCATTCCCAGTTAAACCACATGCACAGCCAGCGGCGCGCATACCACACCCGCCCAGAGCCGAAGACCCTGCACTAAGAAGCCCTTCCGCACGGCAACTGGAGGGACTGCTGTAGCCTCGCGAGGACTAGGAGGCGCCGCCGAGGCCTCTGGGAGGGGGCGGTCCTTGGGCGGCCGCTGAGCGTCCTGGGCGTGGTCTCCTGGCAGCTTTGTGCGAAGCCGTGATGGAAAGGGCTGCTGCGTTACCTGTTGTTGCTGGTCGCAAGTAGAGTCCGGTAGCAGTTCCGAGGCCGCGGAGGATCCGGCTGGAGTCCAGGGTTCGCAGGAGTATCCGAGGTTAGGGGAAGGCTGGCGAATAGTGGTGGCGGACTGAGGGGCTGCGTTTTGGAGCTTAGGGATGTGTTTCCGCTTTCGCCGCGTCCTCCACCTTCCTCTCCGGGTGGCAACGGCTCCTGTAGAGCGGCTTGCCTCATCTGCCCGCGCAGGCCAGGGTCCTTGGGCTCTGGACCTTGCACCCTTCCGGACGCCAACGACCCCTTTCTGCCATTCCCGACTCCTCCAGGACATTGCAGGAAGCGCTCAGTAAGCTGTAGAGCATGAAGAGAAAGGAAAAAAAAACCCAACAAAATTGTTCAACCAAAAGAAAAAAAAGCACATGAAAGAAGGAAATATAACAATATGTCAACAGTTGCTTATCTAGATGGTGTGCATATGGGCATTTATTGTTCTGTTCTTTCTGTTACTCTGTATGTGTGAAACTTTTCATAGTAAATTTTTTTTTAAATACCTATCCTTCGGTAGAATATGAGATATTGCATATGAAACCCTTGTTTCAGTGTCTAGCACACAATACCTTCACAATAAATATCACTATTATTTATATGCAGGGACATTTAACTAATGCTTATTGACATATTTTCTGTCACAAGCTAATGTCTTGTGGAGGGAGAAAATAAAACGTTAGGAGAATGATTTATAAAGTCAGGAAGGGTAGCCCTGACAGGTATGTCTCAGTTGGTTGGGCGTCATCCTGCAAAATGAAAGGTTGCCAGTTTGATTCCCGGTCAAGGCACATGCCTGGGTTGAGGGTTTGTCCCTGGTCGGGGTTCAGAGAGAGGAAACCGATTGGTATGTCTTTCTCACATTGGTGTTTCTCTCTCTCTCTTTTTCCGTCCCTTCCTCTCTCTCTAGAAATGAATAAAATATTTTAAGATGAATAAATAAAGTCAGTAAGGTTAAAGTAAAACCCACCAAGAGCTTTTTTTCCTTGCCATTTCCTTAACATATCTCAGGTATAAAAAGCAGTTGATTTCCACATCTGTGTGACCATCCTCTCTCATTACTTCATGCTATTATTTTATGTATGAGTAGATCTGTTTGTATCTATAGTTACTCTTTAAATTTTGTTCCTGCAAACTACATTTAAGAACAGTCATTGTAGAGCTGTTTTTTCCCTCAAGAAACAATTTGCAATTGAGATTTATTTTCATAGTCAAGGACTTTGTATCAAAGGAATTTTGGAAGTGATCCATGGTAAACTGTCAGACATTGTTCCAACATTTACAAAGATCTGTGTTCACTTCAAATAATGAATAATGTCCCAAGTCAGTAGAATTTTGAAGCAGAAAAAGAAAAACTCAAATCTTTTAAAAGAAGAAATTGAGGACAAGAAAGGTAATTTGCTTAATTACACATAATATGCTAGTGCTAGATTCAGGAATAAAACTATTTTGCACTTAAAAAACTTCTAAGTTTTCATATGTGGACAGCAGAAGGAGCCCTATTATTGTAAATTGTACCAGTACTGAAACTCTTTAGCGTTACCGGTTGGTTGTAAACAAATAGGCTTCTTTAAGGACTGTAAATAGTCATAATTCTTTTTTACCTGACTGGAATTGGAAAGTTTTTTTTTGAGAAATTTTTTATTTGAATAATACATTTCTTTAACATGGTGTGCAGGGCCTGGCCCAGTCCAGAGCTGTGCCATGGCAGAGACTGGGGAAGAGAAGACGGTGTCCACAGAAGCCTCGGGATTCTCAGACATGAGTGACTCAGAGTTTCTGGATCTGGAAGATACCCAGGAGTTGAGCGCTTCACCTTGCAAGCCTAGCCCTTCCTCTGAACTCCCTGGGAAGGATGGCAAGGTCACAAGCTTACCAAAGTGGAAAAGAGGACTGGATGTCTCATCACCTATGGAGCGATTCCACCTTAAATATTTGTATGTGACTGACTTGTCTACTCAGCACTGGTGTGAACAGCAAATGGTATATGGGAAGGAGCTTCCTGGTTCCTTGGCACCTGAGGAGGCAGCCGTTTTGGACACTGGTGCCAGCATCCATCTAGCTAGAGAACTGGAAGTTCATGATCTTGTGACTATCCCCATCACCAGTAAAGAAGATACTTGGGCAGTTAAATTTCTGAATATGTTATCGATGATTACTACCTTACAGTCAGGAGGGCACGTAAGAGAGTTTCCAGTGTTCGGAGAAGTGGAGGGCGTGCTTCTTGTTGGAGTGATTGATGAGCTGCACTACACAGCCAAGGGGGAACTAGAGCTGGTTGAACTCAAGACACGCAGAAGCCCTGTGCTCCCTCTGGACGCTCAGAGAAAAAAAGACCATTTTCAGGTCAGCCTATACAAATATATCTTTGATGCCATGGTACAAGGGAAAGTGACTGCTGCTAGCCTAATTCACCACACAAAATTGCATCCAGAAAAGCCACTGGGACCTTCAGTGCTGAAGCATGCCCAGCAGGGAGGCTTCTCTGTGACATCCTTGGGTGACCTCATGGAGCTGGTCTTCTTGTCTCTAACATTGTCTGACCTTCCAGCCATTGATATCCTGAAGATTGAGTATGTCCATCAAGGGACTGCTACTTTGCTGGGTTCAGAGATTGTGTCCTTTGAGGAGAAGAAGCTGAGAAACAAAGTGCGGCACTACATGGCCTACTGGGTGGGCCACAGAGAGCCTCAAGGGGTTGATGTGGAGGAGGCTTGGAAGTGCCGGACATGCAGCTATGCAGATATCTGTGAGTGGAGGAAGGGCATCAGGGTGCACCGCTCCATGCTATGGCCCCACACCAAGAAAAATGAGTAGAAGGTATGCTTTAAGAAACTTAGATCCTTCCTGCCCCTGATGTACTCAACGGGGTAAAAGGAGACCAGTCTCTGAGCTGGGCTTTCCGGGAGAGTGTTCTTATTTTGGTTCTTTTCATATTTTCTCAACCTCTAACCACTCAAATCTAGGTCCAACACTCAGGTAAGTGGGAGCGATCTGGGATTATACTGTTCTTGGAGCTTCTCTGTAGATTGCCAAGAAGACAGATGCTCATTGTGGCTGGAGCAAAGCAATCATTGCTTTCCAAAGAAGACTCTAGTTTCTGCTAAGTCTCTTCCCTATTTTTTCTCAATCATGGCTTTCTACATTTTATATAATAAAATAAAATGAAACACTCTCCAGATTGGGTAACTTGATTCCCCCCCCCCCCCCCGTAATCTCAGTCCTTTAAAGGTGACCACTATAAATGGTTGTGTGCATGCTATTCTAAGCCTTTAAGTACATATGTAAACATATTTCTGATGCTGAATTAGTGGAATTTTAAATAATCCTAGTAAATGTGCTCAAAGAAAAAAGGGAAAATGAAGCAGGACAAGAAATCATAAAATGAAAATGTTAGATATGAAAAATATAATACATGAAGTATCATTTACACTGTGCAATCCCGTATTAACACTCCTAGGTATAGGCTAAGAGAAACTCTTAGAACAAGAATAGACATTGTAGCACTTTTGCAATAGTGAAACCGAAACCTAGAAACTACCCAGGTGCCCATCATCAGAAGAGTGGATGATGTGGTACAGCAGCCAAAACAAATGAGCTACAATGACATGCAACATTGTAGATGAATCTTAGCAGCATGATATTATGTGAAAAAGTAAGTCCCAAGAGGATATATATGATATATACCCTTTTTATAAAGTGCAAAACAAAAAAACATTAGAGAAAGATGTAAAGATAGTGGAGAGGAATTTCAGTGTATTTTAGAAGGCAGTAGAGTCCTTAGCTGTAAACATCACCACAGAGGCTAGAGAAAAGAATGATGGCATCACCTGGAAGGTGAAGGCTTATTTATGGAGACATTACTAGAGAATTGGCAGAAGCAGATGTGGGGGAGGAGTTAGCAGGGGTGGAGTTACTATGTTAACTGGACTGCCAAGAGCCAGCAGAACATGGTGAATATTGTTGCTGTAACTCCTGTGTAATCACAGTGTAACTACTGTGATTCACGAACTGGTAAAGCCTTGGACATTTATAGGAGATATGATAGGTTAACTCTGGAGGCCTTCTGAGCTACACATATTCTTATGGACAATGGAAATCTTGTGATAATTCTTCCAATTGACTGAGTGTTACATGCTTGGCATTGCGCTAAGCCCTTTTTATGGTTAAATCTACATATTCATTATCTCTGGTGAGGGAACTGAGGCTTAGAAGCCTTGTTAAACTTTCCTAAGATTCCATGGTTTGACAATAATAGACTATAGCCTAGATATGTCTGATTGCAGTGTTTATGCTTTTAACCATTGTGCTGTAAATTTTCTTTGCTGTCGTTAAGCTTCATGCACTGTATGTTATTCTAGGCCTCAGGAAGTTTGAAATCAAATTGGCGGAATAGTAAACTGGACCTTCTGGAATAAACAGTACTAGGCTAATAGTCTTCAAGAGAAGAACTTGCTCAGGGCTCTGTAGCATCTTTTTTACACTAGAAAGTTTAAGAAGAGGGAAAGGAGAAAATCGATTGGTTTCAGACTGTGACCATGACAGAATTCAGCAATTCTGTAAATCAGTAATTCCCTGAGCTCTCAAGTCCTTACTTTAACATCTGGTTATCACTTAATGGTTTCTCACAAAATAGTTGAGGCATCTACAGTTTGGATCACTGATGATGTTTTCTACAAATACTTCCCTGATTTTCAGTCTTCACATGTCTAGTTATTTCATCCTTATGAATTCTTCCTAAAGTGTCTGAACCCTAAATTATGGACCTCTTGGATGTTTGTTCAGTGAGTGGGTAAATGAAAAGAGACATCACAAGAAAGCTACATCTTGATTTTTAAAAATGTGCTTCCTGGTCCAGAGAATGGGTTGAGTACCTTAATTAGGATTGGGTTGAACTGTTCATAATAAAAATTGCCAGAACAATAGTGGTTAAACAAAATAGAAAATTCATGCCCTAACTGGTGTGGCTCAGTGGATTGAGTGCTGGCCTATGAACCAAAGGGTCACAGGTTCAATTCCTAACCTAGGGCACATGCCTGGGTTGCGGGCCAGGTCCCCCAGCAGGGGGTGTGCGAGAAGCAACCACACACATTGATGTTTCTGTCTCTCATTCTCCCTCCCCCTTTCTAAAAAATAAATAAAATCATTTTTTAAAAAAGGACAAAATAGAAGTTCATTTCTCTCTTTAGAAAAAGATAATTTAGCTCTGATGTGGCACCCCATGGTCTGAGGAACCCAGGTTCCTTCTCTCGTTTCTCTACCATCAACAGGTATCCTTGTACTTCATAGTCCAAAATGGATGCCCAAGCTCCAGTCACCCATTACACACTTGGCATAGAGCTGAACTAGGAAAAGGGCATGATTTTAAGGACACTTCATAAATTTGCATCACTGCTTTCACATCCATCCCATTGGCCCAAACTTCGTCACGTGGTTATAGGTAGCTGCACGGGAAGTGGGCATATTTTTTTTTCTAGGAAAGCATATACCCAGACAAAAACTGGAAGTTCTATGAACTATAAACAAAGGGAGAATGGATATTGAGTGACACTTGTAATCTCTGCCCATTGAGATTTTCAGGAGCAGGGCTGGCAATTTTTGCCTAACTAAGGACCCTAAACCCTTGGGGAAAAGAGGAAGAGATGAGCATGATTAGCCCTTAATTGGTCCCCACAATCCCATCATGGCACCAAAATGTGTTAGAATATTTCTAGGTTAAGGCTCATAATTTTAAAAATCTGGTATCATGTGCTAAATGGAATCTGGACAAGTCTTTCCCTGGCTTCATATTCTGGGGCAAAAGCATCAGGTTGAAAGGGTCGAATTTGATACAAACCCATTGGAGGCCTGCAGGAGGCAGATCCTCAAGGCCATGATGTTCTCAGAGGCTTACCTAATGATTCTGGGTGTCCTGTGGCACAAAGAAGAGAGCAGATTTGAGAGGACCCAGCCAAGAGATTCAGTTCTGGCCCTTATGCTTTATATCGTCTAGCAGAGAATACAGACAAACAGGCAAAGAGAGCTATGTGACAAGAGCTAGTATAGGGTGGTACGAGATAGTACGGATTCACAAAAGAAAGTCTACACTGGACTGGTGAGGTCAGGAGAGTTTTCTGGCAGACTACTGAGACTTGACAGAGTGAATTAGCTGGGTTGAGAGAGTGAGCAATTGTTTTTTCAAGCCAAGAATGGTATGTGTGACAGCCTGGCAGATCTAGAACACAGTGGCTTCAAGGACCAAAGAAGCTTGTTGAATTTAGTTAATAGTATGAAGGGAAGTGGGAAGAGATGAAGCCAGAGAGGTAAGGACCTTAAAAACCTTGTTTAAAATTTGGGGATGACAGTGGATGGATTCTTGCCTCTTTGTCCCTAATTTCTCTCTCTCTCATTCAATTTTCAATATTTAAAAACTTTATTTTAGTAAAATACATAACAATATTTTAACCATTGTAAGTGTACAATTCAGTGGTAAGCACCTTCACATTGTTGCTTTATTAACTGGTGTATTTATTGAACTAAGAAGTGCTTGTTGGGATGGGCGGGGGGGAGGAATGAAGAGTTTGGTTCGGACATGTGAAGTGGGAGGTGACTTTTAGATACCTGAGGGGGAGATGGAAGGTCGGCATAAGGCATTGGGGTCTGAAGGTCAGGGAAGAAGTGAGGGCTGAAGATAAAGATTTGTCAGTCACTGTCAAAGCCATGGGACCAGATGCAGTCATTTCATAGAAAACTACAAAAAAAAAGAAAAGGCCTAAGGGCAAATCTTGAATATTCCAACATTTGGATGTGGAACACAGGAAGGGCATTCAGTAAAAGAAGTAGAGAAATAGTATTAGTGAGGTGGGAGGAACTAGTTTTTGTGATATGTTCCAGAAACCTCACAAAGACTTTATTTCAATTTTGTTGAATGCTCTGGAGGTCACATATGATGAGGACAGGGAGTCCATTTAATTTTTCAACTGGAATTTCATCAATAACATGACAAGAGCAGTTTCAGGAGAGTTGTTAGGATCAAGAAGCCAATTACAGTGGACTGAGGGGAAAATTGGAGGTGAGAAAATGTAGGGAGCGATAAGGAGCAACTTTTTAGAGAAAATTTCCTATGAAGGAAAGCTAGGAAATGGAGCAGTCGCTCAAGTGGGCTATAGGTCAAGGAAGGATTTTTAAAAGATGAGACATAAAAAAAAAAATGTCTTTATGACACTGAAAATGCCAGTTAAGTCAATGGCTACTAACATCAAATGGGCTTTTAATGCTGTCAGGCAACAATATTACATTTCCTTAATCCATTCACTCTTTCACATTCCTAAGTAACATTAAAATCTCATATGTCATTGATTATAAGATATATCATTATGTTATGTATTACTATGAAAGAAAAAACAATGCCAGTTAAACTATGGCATTCCATCACCTGAAAGATAGCTAGTTCGCAGATGTTGACATGAAAAAAATTGTATTAGAATCAATGTCATACAGTATTTCTTATGGTTCCTCTCTTCCGGCCTCTAATACCTTTTCCTTATCTTCACCTTCAGTTCTCTATTTCACTAAGAAAATAGAAGCACTCAGAAGAGGATAGCCTCATTCTCCCACCACCAAATCTGTCCACCCACCTGCATCGGTACTTATGAACTCTGTGTCCCCTTTTATTTCAATGGATGAATTGTCCACATCGTTAGAACTGATCCTTCCAACTGTGTACTGGATTCCATCTCTTCTCTCTTCAAGGACTTTCCTCCTGCAACTGTCCTTTCTCTCTTTGTCAGTTTTGCCCTCTCTACAGGATCGCTTTTATTAGGATGCAAACATACTGTAATTTCTTAATTCCACCTTTAAGAAAATTCAGGAAAATTCAGGATTGCAAATCCATATGCAAAGACAGTTTTACTTTTCTGCTCATCTTAAAAAAGCAAAACTCAAAAGTACTGTCTATACTTACTTTCTCCACTTCCTGTCCTCCCATCTTTTTATCCCATCTTTTTCAAACTTCTGCCACTATCCAAAATAGCATGTTTCAACAACTTCCACATTGCTAATTCAATGATCGATCCTTAGTTCCCACCCTAGCGGACATATCAGCAGCATTTCACACAGTGGGTCACACCCTTCTTCTTGAAACAGTTTCTTCCCTTGATTTTTCAGATACAAACTCTTACACTTTTCCATCTGTCTCACCATTATTTCTTCTTAGTCTTTGTTGGGTCCTCTTCATCTCCCTGACCTAAGCTACTGCATTGCTAAATGAAACTGAACTGAGTCAGGGTAAATTATTCTCTTAGCATACTGCTGATTTTGATTTTCCAGTATTTAAAAATTCTGATGTCTATCTTTTTAAATAAAAATGATATGTACACTCTTAGGTAGGACAGATAGTAAACCAAGCAGGGAAGGGAGGGAGACACGTCTCACACATTTACTCGGCAGTCCTGAGCCTGGTGGGATGAGATTGCCAGGTGTTCTGAAAATCACAAGCAAAATTATGATAGTGCAAGAGGAGGGGAGCCCTTGAAATTCTGTTTCCACTAGCTGGGAAAGAAAGCCTTTGAAACTAGTATTAATCCCAAAGTCTGGAGAGGGAAGGAGGAGGGGGAATCTAGAAGCTGGCTACATGCATAAAACTTCTGGAGTCCTAGTAGTTGGGTGCACTCAAATTAGCTGGCTGCCTTCTTGCAGATTTGGGCTCAAGTGTATAAAAAACTTAACGACCTTATTTCCACTATATATGGGCACTCAGACAAGCTGCGTGCCTCCTTGCGGCGTCGTGCCCGAGTATATTTCATAAGTAAACTTGCTATCTCATTTCTACTATATGTGTTGTCTCTCGCTTGAATTCTTGTGAGCAAGGCAAGAACTGAGCGGGGAGTCCATTGACTTGGGTCTTCCTGGTAACATACACGTACCTTTTTGTGGAGAGTAGGTCTAATGCCATGTATAGGGCATTCACAGTCTGCTCCAAGTGATCAAAACATGTTTAGCAGAATCGAGTGATCAAAACAACATGTGTTCCCTGACTGGTGTGCCTCAGTTGGTTGGGCAACATCTGGCAAAATGAAAGGTCTCCTGTTTGATTCCTGGTCAGGGCACATACCTGGCTGGGTGTGAGTTCGGTCCAGGGTCTCGGTGCATATGAGAGGCAACTGATCGCTGTTTCTCACATTGATATTTCTCCTCTCCCCCTCCCTTCCCCTCTCTCTAAAAATAAATAAAAATCTTTAAACAAAACCAAAAAAACATGTTTATCAGACTTGTCCTATAAACATGTGCTTATCAGAACTAAGCAAAACATGTTTCATATGAACTGACCAACACAACATGTGTTTATTGAAACTGAGCAAAACATGGATCAAAACATGACGCTGCAGCTTTGAGGAGCAAAGAAGCAGAAGACTCCAAGAGCAGCCTGATATAGCTGATCTCCTGAAGCTGATTGAGATATCCACAGGCTGCCCCTCTATAAGCTCTGAAGAATACTGCTGAGACACTGCTCCTGATTCTGTCTTGCAAGACGTTGACTGCCTGGCTGTCTACTGGATCCAGTCCCTGATTTAGATTCTTGGAACTTGGGTTTCTTTTCTCCCAATTCCCTTGTGAGATAGTGTTACTGATTGAGTGTTATCGCTATTGATTGTTATTGACCGAGATTGAACCTGTATCAATAAAAGCTGAGTGAATAGTATAAGGGGGGACCCCCCAAAAAACCTGGAATTTGTTTATAAAAAGTTGTGTATTTATTCTTACATATTTAAACTTCAGTCATCTTCAAAGTACTCTCCATTTGATGCAGTACACCTATTGAGATTTTTTTCCCCACTGCTCAAAACAGTTTTTGATCTTGTCAATTTTGATGCTTTTTGGTGGTTCTGCCGGTTTTTGTTTCACCTCTTCCACAATGGCAAAACATTTCCCTGTGGGGATTTTTTTCATCCAGGAAAACAGATTTTAAAAAATGTTGCTTAGGGAAAGATCAGGTGAATAAGGAGAGTGGGGCACAGGGTCATCCCATTTTTGGTCAAAAACTCCTGAATGCTCCGCCCAGTGTGGGCAGGTGCACTCGTAAATCATCCAGCATGAAATGGGCAAATGTGCTAAGAGTTTTCAAAAGAAATTCACTGAAGCCAAACACAGCGTCTCACAACAATGGCAGCTCCTGGAGCACTCACCTGGTGGGGAAGCCTGTACTTGTCACGAGCATATGTCTGTGATATAGTCTTTCATATAAGTGAGCTGGGAAGCTGCTCGGCTAGCTGCCTGCTGATCAGCCTGGCACCAAGGAATAGATAAGAGTCACACACAGCAACTATGTTATTCACGCAGCTTTTATTGAATGCAGGTTCACTCAAAGTAGAACATCAACATACATTAATATCCCACTCACACTCTAACAGTCTAAGAGAATTATAACACACACACACACTGTGGACAGCAGGACCAATAAAATGGCGTTGGCCTGATCAAAATAGCATAAAGTATAAAAAACAAAGTGGAGTCACTCATGTCAATCAAAATGGCTGTCAGTCAGCCATGACACTTTGGTTCAAGAGGGAAATTACCTAAGTCAGAGCAGACACATCTGGCAAGAAGATACACCTAAGATATCTGCGCGCGCGCACACACACACAAACACACACACACAGAGCAATCAATGGGGGTCTGTTATCCCCATCTGAGACTCAGAGTCTCAGTCTGCAGGTCTGGGAGACAGCACGGTGGGCCAGGGAGCTGTCAGCATCTTGCAAGGAAGGATCTATGGAGACGGTGGGCAGCAGGGCAGGTGAAGTCCTCAGTCCAGCAGGGCAGAGCCTCCGGCGGCCAATGCCAAGGGAGATCAGTGTGGCATGGGGCAGCACTCATGGTGTGCGGAGCTCTGTTGTCTCAGCAGTGGTCTGGAACCTGCCTCAGTTATACCTTGAAAGTCGGTGTATACCACCCTTCTGGGTCTTTTCCATAAATGTCCTGGCACCCCTGATGCCAAATGGGGAATTTGCTCAGGAGGCTATGGGTGGTACATGGGGGTTCTGCTGGTACATGGTTGTTCTGCTTGACACCTCTAACGGCAAGTGTGTAATTTCCCCAGGAGCCTATCTGTGGGCTGTCCTACTCTGCAGACATGGCTGTTTTGATCACATGTGCAGATATCCTGGTGTATCTCCTTGCCAGATGTGTCTGCTCTGACTTAGGTAGTTTCCCTCTTGAACCAAAGTGTCATGGCTGACTGACAGCCATTTTGATTGACATGAGTGACTCCACTTTGTTTTTTATACTTTATGCTATTTTGATCAGGCCAATGCCATTTTATTGGTCCTGCTGTCCACAGTACTATAAGGGGCCCGCTCTCCAGAAGGTAATTCCGGTTCTTTGGGGGTCTTTCATGTAGTCGTCTTTGTTGGATCATTGCTATTCCTTGGTGCCAGTGTTGTCTGCAGAGCTGGTGGCTGTATAGGCGGCCTAGCACCTCCCGCCCATGACAAAGGCTGTAGGCTGACTTACAGGAAAGACTGTGGTGCGGATACTTGTAAGGTCACAGTATTGCTAGCAACACTTTTAAAGAGGAGCATGGCCCTGAGGCAACCCCTAAGATACCAACCCAGGAATCCCAGAAAAGAGGTGGAGGCATCTCAGGTTTTCCGGAAATGAGCCCCACGGGTCTTATGGGAAATGTAGTCTCGGATGGATAGCCTATAACCCAGGAGAGCCTGGGAACTCTGGGCGGGGGGTGGGGGGGAGTTACTTCCGCTCACGCGCAATGGGGTGGTAGCGAGTATTCTGTAATCTTCCAACCTGTGTTATAAATCAGTGTGCGTGCTGCTCACGAGACTTTGGGCAGTAGAGCTCTGTAAACTGATCTAGGACTTTGAGCCCGAGCTGGGAGGGTGGCGGTGTAAGGCTGACAGGTATGACTGCAGGGCTAAGGGAAGGGCGGAGAGAAAGACGGGGGCCGGTTTATTGGCTTATTCAACTGAAGATTAAATTTAACAAACTGCACGTGTGGTGACCTTGTGTTTGGGTTGTGGGTCCTTTTCAATTCCGGAGTAGATCAGAGATAGAAGCGCAGGGCTCCGACTGCCACTCAGTGGGTTCCTAGATCCCGGGTGGGTCTGGGGCAGGTCACTGTGTAGGAGTTTGTGCATCACACTGGACCTTTCTGGTAACAAGTGCACCTTTGGCCCTACCAGAACCTGTAACAGGAAATGTTAAACAATTTCAAGGTATCTGGGAAGAAAGTATTTCTGATACTGCCATGCTATCTTTTTAAGGTATGCTCACAACCGTCACCTGAAGTAGCTGTTATCTTCATTTTATACATGAATTAACTGAAGCTGAGAGAGGTGAAGTTACTTGGCTAACTTCACATAGCTTAGTATGTGGACGAGCTGAGATTCAAATCCAGATAAGTTTTTCCAAATTTCATTCTTTTTTGGAAGATAGCACCTTGCAAAAAACAAACATTCCTCTTTTGAAATATTTGAGCAGTGAATTCTGAGTAAATTTAGATTTGTCGAAATTTCTTTAAGGGTCATTAGAGGAATCTGCAGGTCTTCCAGTGAAGATTGTGTAAATAAAGCTGTGAGTCCTTCTTGCACATTTTAGCCTTTCTAGGGCCCCAGCAGTGCTGGCTGGAATTTGAAAAAGCGCTGTGCCCATGGGAGACGGTGAATTTCCGGGGGCGGAGCGGGGCTGCGGGGGGGCGCATATTTGGAATCTAAACTGAAGGGCTCCAGCTTGGGGGGGGGAAAACAAAAAACAAAACAAAACAAAACAAAAAACCACGGCTCTCCGGATCTAGCCTCCGCAATAAAGCCAACCTAATTCGAGATATCTTACCCCAGTTTTAGAGCACAGACCAGAGAGTCAGAGGAAGGAACGCATCCAGAGACACTGAGCTTCAGAGACCAGGCTTTTAGTTAGTCTTTTAAGTCTGCGGAAAAGACAAGTCACTGGTTCAAAGGTTAACAACTTTCTGTAAGATCAGTAGGACAAAAATGTACAACATTCATATATTCGTAACAATCACAAGTAGAGATCGGGGCTGATAAAATAGGGGTTCTTCTGACTTACTAGAAATATTACCCCACTACGTGGGATTCCCTGAGGCTGTAGCGTGGGGGCTTCTGTTCTGACAGCTCGGCTCTGCGTTGCAGTCCCGGTTTTTCACGTCCTTCTATTCTCTTCCCCCATTTTTATTGTCATAGATATCCGTGCAAGAGTTTCAGAAAATGATCAGCTTCCAGGTAAGACATTTATTTATTCAGTCATTTAAATCTCTCAAAAATCCATATAAAAAGGAATTGTATAGTCAGGGAAAAAGTAGATTGAATAGGTTATTCCAAAAGAAAATTTAGAGTATGGTTAAGCTGATATTCTTCAGGTCATAGGGTTTACACTTAGTTGGAGTAAATTTGAGCTGCATTTGTGTACCCGATATTCCTGGTGATCATAGAAAATGGATAACCAACCTGTTAAAGTATTGGCATTGTCTGTGAGGATAAAGCAAAACAGTTCCCCAGATTTATCTGTAGTATATATAACATCAGATTTCCTGTGCCTTTCTTGGGGTGCTCTCTGGAGCAAACAGAACACAGTGCCAGGCAGCACTATATAAACTCTTTTAATGTTCATCTGGAAAAATCGGTAAAAGGTACCCTTGTACCTTTCCAGAGTCTCCAGCTATTCTTGAGCATTTTCTCTTCCATGTGCATTTTAAAATCAGGTGGTCAAGGTCCTTAAAGAAGTATGTAACTGCATTACACTTTTAGATTACTTTGGAGAGAATTAGTGACTTTTCAATAACGAGTCTTTCATTTATTTATTTTTTCTGATAGGTCTTTCATTACAGTTTTATAGTTTTATTATTGTAATTCTTGGACAATTTTTGTAATGCTTATTCTTACATGTGGTTAAAGTTGTTATTGAGAATGATATAGACATTTTCTCATTATATTTTCTTATTGGTTATTCTTTTATATAGGAAAGTGTGGGTTAATCTGTTTGATAGTATAGTCATGCTCCGCTTTACGACCGAGAACTATGTCATTAGGCCATTTTGGCATTGTGTGAACATCGTAGAGTGCACTTCCACAAACCTAGATGGTAGAGCCTACTACACATGTAGGTTAGGTGCTATAGCCTGTTGCTCCTAGGCTACAAGTCTGCACAGCATATTACTGAATAAAACAACGTGAGATTAAGCACAAGAGAAAATGATTCAGTCAAGACACACTATAAACATGAAATGTATTGGGCTGCTGCTGCTGGCATCACATGGCAACTGTTTTACAGAAAACTTCTTTAATATGTCCAAAGAGTACACTCCAAAATAAGAATAAAAGGTATAGTAAATGTACAAATTAGTAACATATTAGTTTATTATCATTTTCAAGTGGTATGTACTGTACCTAATTATATGTGCTATATTTTTATATGACTGGCAGCACAATTGATTTGTTTATGCCAGCATCATCACAAACACATGAGTAGTGTGTTGTGCTTTGGCGTTATGACAGCTGCAACATCACTAAGTGACAGGAATTTTTTAGCTTTAGTATAATCTTATGGGATTACTGTTGTCTATGTGGTCAGTCATTGATGGAAACATCATTATGTGACACATGGCTGCATGTCGGTTTATGGAACTCTTATGAAATCCAAGAGGTTTTTAGATGATTCTTAGATTTTACAGTTAAACAATCATATGCTCTTCAAATGGAGTTTGTCCCTGACTTCTCAGTATATATGTGTCCATTTTTTTTCTTATCTTATTACAAGGAACAGGACTTCTAGTAATTATAATTTTGAATGCAATTGCTAGCCAAAATCTTTTTGTTACATTTTTAATGGAAATGCTTTTAGTGTTTCACTGTTTCCTCTTGTATTCTGATAGACAGTTGTTTTTTGTTTTTGTTTTTAATCAAGTTAAGGATTTTTGGCTTGCGAAGATTATTTTCATAAATTGGGAACTTTTTTTTAGCATATCCTTTTTAAATACCTGTCAATAAAAATTATATGTTTTATCTTATCTAGTATAACAGTTTAGAGAATTTCTATTACATTTCCCAATACTGAACTATGTATGTCTTCTTGGGATAAACTGTACATAGTCTCTTAACTTTTTAAAGGGCCAGGTAGTAAATACTTTAGGCTTGAAGGCCATATAGCTTCTATGGAAACTACACAACTCTACCCTTGTAGTTGAGGTAAATAAATGTAACTATGTTGCAGTAACACTTTATTTACACAAATAGGAGGCCATCCCATGTGTTGTAGTTTGCTGACCCCTGCTCTCTCCGGTCTTAACTATCTCTTTGTGATAGACATGTAGCTAAATGCCTTTTTAATTTCAGTTTAAGTTAATTAAACATGATTTTGGCTTTATGGTTAAAAGGATATATTATATCATGTTAACAAAAATCCACATCTTCCTATTTTATTATGCTTATGTGAGTCTGGTATATAAACCTTATAGCTCCTGTAACATCTTATTGCACTTACATGTTTACTTTGTATTGCCTAATAGATTTTAAGATCTCTGAGGGCAGTAATAATTTTATTTTAATTTTTGCATCACTAGTACAGTATCTGGCCCTCATTAAATATTTTATGAGTGAAGGCTATATAAGCAATACTTTAAAATAATTTTATTGAGATATAATTTGCATATTTCAAATTGACCTGTTTTAAAATGTATACAATTCACTGGTTTTTATTTATCCATGGAGTTGTGAAACCATCACCACTATCTAATTCAAGAACATTTCATTACCCTCAAAAGAAACCCCATACCTACTCCATTCTTCCCCCAACCCTAATTTATTTACTGTTTCTATGGATTTGCCTATTCTGAACATCTTATACAAATGGAATCATACAATATGTGATCATTTGTAACTGACTTCTTTCACCCAGTACAATATTTTCAACTATATTGTAGATACCTTTTTATTGCTGAACAGTGTTGCATCATGTACAATATTACTTATCCATTCATTAGTTGATGGATACCCGTATTGGTTTCACTTTTTGGCTATTATTAATAATTCTGCTATGAACATTTGTGCAAAGGTTTTTGTGTGGGCATGTATTTCAATTCTTTTGGGTATATACCTGTGAGGAATTAATTGTGGGGTCACATGGTAACTCTATGTTTAACATTTGAAGGAACTGACAGTTTTCCTTAGTTGCTGCACAATTGTACAATCCCATCTGCAATGTATGAGAGTTCCAGTTCCTCCACATCCTTGCTAACATTTGTCATTGTTTTTAATTTTTGCATCCTGGTGAGTTTGAAGTGATACCTCATTGTAGTTTTGATTTGCATTTTGCTAATAACTAATGATTTTGAGCATCTTTTTATATGCTTATGGACTAAATATGTCTTTGGAGAAGTGTCTGATCAAATCCTTTGACTATTTTTAAATTTGGTTATTTCTTTATTATAAGAATTTTTTATATTCTAGATAAAAATCTCTTATCTGGTATATGATTTGCAGATATTTCCTCCCATTCTGTGTTGTCTTTTCACTTTCTTGATGGTGTCCTTTGAAACACAAAATTTTTAAATTTTGATCAATTCCAATTTACCTAGTTTTTATTTTGTCACTTACACTTTTTTCTGTCATATTTAAGAAGCCACTGGCTAATCCAAGGTCACAAAGATTTACTCCTATGTTTTTTCTAAGAAGTTTTAGTTTTAGCTCTTTCATTTAGGTCTCTCACACATTTTTGGTTTATTTTTGTGTATGATGTGAGGTGTATGTGGGAGGGGAGTCCAGCTTCATTCTTTTGCATGTGGACATCTGGTTGTCCCAACACCATTTGTTAAAAAGACTATACTTCCCCCCATTGAATTGTCCTGGCACTAGTTGAATATTTTAAATATGAGGGTTTTTTTTTTTATCACAGAGTCTATTTCTGAATCAAACATGCTGTAGTTACCACATATAAGTTTCTGAAAACTCAACAGTGAACATGAACATGAGCATAAGAGGCTGACATGATTCTCTTGCAAGTCCCCAAGTGATTCACACTTTAGTTTGAAGATCAATGTACTGTTAACAGGGGCCATTGACATTCCAGGATGTGGCCGTGGACTTCACCTCAGAGGAGTGGCAGCTGCTTGACTGTGATCAGAGAGCCTTGTATTGGGATGTGATGTTGGAGAACTTTAGAAACCTCATCTCGTTGGGTAAGGACAGTGGGTGGTAACTTTTCATTGTAACTCAGTGTATATTAATAGTGCCCATCTTTGAAGACTTGTGAAAGCTGTGAACATTGAAGCTTTAGTAAGTTTGGCCCTGCATCTTAGTGATCAAAGGTTCTTCATCCTGTTCGGGGGTTAGATAGTCTTTTTATGCTCCCAAATGGAGAAGAGTCTTTCTGTTCTAAACACTTTGTCATCCTTTCAGGCCCTGGCACCCAAGGAGGCAGACCTGAGATGTGAGGTAGTTGTTTGTCCTTAGCACCTTGTTCCCAGTTCTCTGTTGTTTCCCTTGAACAGGAGCTCTAGTTACCAAGAGGAAGGCAATCTTCAAGGTGGAGCAAGGACAAAAGCTGCAGGCGGTGGAGGGAAAGAGCCCACAGTGGAGCCACCTGGGTGAGTGAGAGAAAACCAAGTAGATGAAAGTCTTTGGAACTAGTCAGTGAGGGACTGGTACCTTTGAAATACTTTTCGGGAAGCATCTCCTAAAAGCCACACACCTTTGGAAGTGACCAGGCATGCCTGACACATAACAAAGGACACCATCAGGTCCCGAAATGACACTTCGACTTTCACTCCCGCCACCTAACTGCTCTTTGTGTTTTCTCACCTCTGTGTGAAGGGGTGCCCCTCTCCCCTGTAATCTGGCTTCTCACACTGCCCGCTTCATCTAGGTCCTTGTTTTGTTTTCTTAATTCCTAAAATCCTCACTCCCCTTCCCAGCATGATTGCAGAGCTTTTCCATATGTCTCCATATGTGTGGTCAGATTGTGTGGATTGGAAGTCTTACTACACCAGTCACTGTCTAACGTAATTACGTTGTAGCACAATTTTACTTATAAAATAGGGATAATGTTAATCTTTACCTCAGGTTTCCTTGTAAAGATTATATGAGTTAATGCATGGAAAGCTCTTCAAATAGTTGTCAGATAGTGAGTGTTCAGCATGTGTTACATGTTTTTATTTCAAAACTTTTAGTCACATCATGCTCTTTCTAGTTATTTTCCTTAAAAAAAAAATCATTTCTTGCATCATACATCCCACCTTTGTACCCCACTTTGCTCATCTTTAGCCTCACTGGCAACTTGAGGTACCTATCTACCTTATAGTCCATTTTTCTGCTTCATTTGGTAATTTGATTATTTATTGGAAATTCTCCTCCAACTTTGAATCGGTGTACCACTACTCAGCCCAGCTCCATAAAGGAAGAAAAGGCAAGGAGCAAGAGCCGAAGGGTTTTGTGCTAAACCTCCACATGGAAGAAATCTCATACATGGGATTATAATCCCCTCTTTCTGTTTTTTTTTTTTCTTTTTCTTCTTTTTTTAATGGAACAATGGATTTGGGATTTACAGGGTTTTGAGGATAGGCATGAAAAAGTGGAACTTCAGGACCAAAGTAGCTTTCTGAGGATTAGTTTGTTAGGCAGTTTGAGAGAGAATTTAAAAACAGTTCTTGTCAAATACAAATATGACAGTTTTCATATATAGAAACCCAGTCATAATAAAAATGATAGCAAGCAGACAGAATATGTACTTGGACTAAAGATGATTTGCTCTTGAATGACCTGTTTGGACATTTGTGTTCCTGGGCTTACAAGTAAGTCCATGGGATAATGAAACCCAGCTATAGTAAATTTGGAGCCCTGTCTACCAATGTGTCTGAGCTGTGGTTTGGGTGAGGTTAGAGGACTAGAGATATAAGAATGTTCCTGAAGGGAGCTGACATGGTGTCAAGTGTTTAAGAGGAAAAAGAGATGTGGAGGAGGGAAAGGGGGAGCAATCCTAAACAGGTAATCTCGAAATTAGGTAGTGAGGACTCTGCTTCTGATCTGCCTCCTCCAAATCTAGTTTTTCCTCTGATATTTTTCCTTAAATCCCTAGTCTTTTGTTCCCTGGTTATCCAGTCCTTAATCAGACCTCTGCAGTGGGCGGAGATGATCTCTTCATTCTTTGAGCTAGTCATGTACCTTTGCCTTCCTCTGTACCCTACTCACTGTAACTTGCACCTATTTTACGGTCTTTCTACAAGTCACAAGTTAAGCCATCTGTTCTCATTGCTGTCATTCATCTGCTCCCATTTCTTCTTTAGAGTTTTATTCTTAAAGCTCAGGAGCAAGGCAAATATAGGATTCGTTTCAAAATGAGAGACTAGATTTGAAATTATGTAAGTTTCTTTCTGTAACTGTTGATGGAAAAAATTAACTAGGAATGTTTTATTGTGCTCCATTTTAGAAGCTGACTGCCCATTTGTTCATGAATCACAGAAGCACCAGAAAAGCAAAGACGATTTTTTGAATTCAGTTTTGTTCATGTTCAATAAAATTCTGACTATGGAGAGACTCCATGGTAGTATGAGCACATGTCATATTGGAAAAAATCATATAAATGCAAGAAAGATACTATATAAATGCAAATCATATGGGAAGAGTTTGCAACCTACTTTAGACTTACTTAATTATAATAGATATTATAATGGAGAAAACTCTTATGAGTGCAAGGACTGTGGGAAGGCCTTCAAAAAGAAGTTTCATTTAATTAGACATGAAAAAAATCACACAAGAAAAAAACCCTTTGAATGCAATGACTGTGGGAAAGCCTATAGCAGGAAGGCACACCTTGCAACTCATCAGAAAATTCATAATGGAGAGAGACCCTTTGTGTGCAGTGATTGTGGAAAAGCTTTTATGCATAAAGCGCAGCTCGTGGTTCACCAGAGACTTCACACTGGAGAGAAACCCTATGAATGCAGTCAGTGTGGGAAATCGTTCACGTGGAACTCCTCCTTTACTCAACATGTGAAATCTCATACACTGGAGAACTCATTTGAATGTAAGGAATGTGGCAAAACCTTCAGGTATAGTTCATCCCTTTATAAACATTCTAGATTTCATACAGGAGAGAAACCGTACCAATGTATCATATGTGGCAAAGCCTTTGGCAACACGTCTGTGCTTGTTACTCATCAAAGAATTCACACAGGAGAAAAGCCTTATGGATGTGTTGAATGTGGCAAAGCCTTCATCAAGAAGTCTCATCTCCTTAGACATCAGATAACTCATACAGGAGAAAAGCCCTATGAATGTAACAAATGTGGGAAAGCATTTTCCCAGAAGTCAAATCTTATTGTACATCAAAGAATTCATACATGATATTCACTTTATGAATATGAGAACGCCTTAGATATTAAATAAATTTTATTAAATAGCAGAGATTCATGGTGAGGAGAAATCGAAGAATTAGAATGAATTTGGAAGGAGTAGATTTCCATAAAAAGATAAATAATTCCAATCATGTTCTGGAAGTGATAATAAAGTTTTTACAGAAAAGATCACAGAAAACATTGAATTATAAATAATAGTGCTAGGAAAGTAAGCACAAATTAAATAATCAAGGAATCAGTGAAGAATTAATTTACCATCTCTGATTGATTTTTATAACAAATTCTACAATTATGTAAGTGTGAGTATAAAATATATTTATTCATAATAATAAATTATAACTATTGAGTTTCTGCAGTATATATCACCATTTTGTCTTCCAATCCTAACAGTAACATGCAAGGGGAAAATGTGGTTTAATATGCAGTATGAATTTCAGTAGTATTTTTATCCATATGCTGGCACTTTTAACGGGCATAGCAGTGTCACTGAATCCCAGAGTCTCCTCTTTAATTATAAAACTTGTTATAAAGATGTTTTCTTATGTAAACACCAAAACAAAAAATTTAACAAGATAATAATTGAGAGGGTGAAAAGCAATTGTATTCTGTATTACAATAAGCATTTCATTGAGGAAAATAAGTATTTAAATAAGTATGTAAATAAAACATTTCCACTCAAATATTCTTATTTTTTTCATTGTTGTATCTACATAAGATATAGCATAACTCAAGCAACATTTAGCTGGGTTATCTATATTTGATTTTTGTAAAGTAGGGTGTCATGATAGCTCGCAACTTTCTAGGAGCTAGTTTTTAGGTCTGAAATATATATATATAGGTAATAAGTTGACACCTCATAGGAGTGCCTGGAATTTTCTATATGACAGCATAGGCAGCATTAACCATAAAAGAGCAAGTTTTTCTGCGTAGCAACTTTGCATTGGAATGTGACAGTTTGTTAGTACCACATATCCCCTTAAAAGGATTTAAGCTAAAGTTTTTATTGCTGTCCACAATATTCCTTGGTAATATCAAAAAACCATTATGCCTTTTCTTGAGTGTTGCTATAACAGCTTGAACCTAAATTCAGAAATCCCTCTTCCTTCCAAGTTTAAGCTCAGTTACAACTATCTTGCATTATTTTTCTTTCATTAGCTATTTTTTTTAAAAAGCAATGTTGAATAATGGTTATAAATGAATGACAGTGCTTTGTAGAATAAGCATACTAGAGCCTAAGGATCTAAATGATATCTTCTCTGCTGTCAAAGACTTTTTTTCTTTTTTATTGAATTTATTGGAGTGACATTGGCTAATAAAGTTATACAGATTTCAGGCACACATTCTGTAATACACCGTCTACATACTGTAGTGTGTGTTCACCAGCCCGAGTCTCCTCCCATCAGCATTTATGCCCTCTGTACCCTCTCCTACCTCCCCTCCACCCCCTCCCCTTCTGGTAACCACCGCAGCATTGTCTGTGCCTAGGAGTCTGTCCGTTTGTTTTGCTTACCCCTTTCACCTTTCTTCGCCCAGCCCCCGACTCCCCTTCCTTCTCACGGCTGTCAGTCTGCTCTCTTTGAGTCTCTTTCTATTTTGTTAGTTTATTTTATTCATTAGGTCCCACATATGAATGAAATCATATGGTATTTGTCTTTCTATGACTGGCTTATTTCATTGAGCATAATGTTCTTCAGGTCAATCCATGCTTTTGCAAAGGGTAAGATTTCCTTTTTTTATGGCCTTTCGGAAAAATTATCATTCCTGATAAGCAGTTTTTAAATGGCTCTAATAGGATTTAGAAGGTCTAGTTTTAGAAACTAGACCACCCACCCTGATGCCTGTCAGATAAACTTCCCTTCTATTGTAGTAGCTAGCAAATAATGTTTATGTATCCCTTCTCTTTTCCTATATAAAGTCTTTTTCCCTGAATGAAACTTGAAATTGGCCTCTTGCTCTTGCCTTACAACATGATTGTAATAAAACTTTGAAACATAATTAGGCTGTCTGAAACAAAAATCCTTTTAGACAGGCTCTAATGTGTTAATTTATATAATCTATATTTTTAACTTACAGTTAAGATATATTTGTTATTCTATTACTAAAGTTTAATTCTATTTAAAAAAAAAAAAAGAAACCTCACTTGGTCTGTTTTCCCCCTGTTTTCTATTTGCCATGTCTTATGGCATATGTCCTCTCTATGTCATGTCTATATTAAGTAAAAATGACATACACCTTTCTCTTCAGTATGACCGGAGCTCGTCCTGAAGCTCAAGCGACACCAAACTAGAAACCTCCACTAGATGAAGAGGAAACCCCTGGTACCTTTGGGACCCAAGCTCCATGAGTCTTATGGGAAATGTAGTCTTGGATGAATTTCTGCGGAGGACCCTGGGAAATCTGGGCAAATCACTGCTCCCCTACACACGCACTGGACCAGTCAGGCGTGTGAGTGCTTTGGCTGGTTTGGTACCAGCGTCCTGTGACAGTTGAAGAGCAAAGGCTGGCTGATCGGTTCATAGGAAGGAAGTAAAACTGTAGGTATCCCCTATGCGCGGGGACATTGGACTCAGAGCTAGCTGAGAAAGGGCAGGGCTTCCGCTGACCTGGCGTGGAGCCCGGGTCTGGGCAGCTGTGGCAGATTGGTCTGCGTTGCTGGGTTGCAGGGAGTGTCCGCAGTGTAGGGAGCCCACGCCAGTGCGTTGAACTGTACCTCACCCCCTTTCCGGAGCGTTTTGGCTCATGGAGGGCAGTAAACCCCTTAAGGCAGTGGGGAAGAGAACCAGTATATCCAGTGTCAGACACTAGTAAGCACTTTTAAGAGTGGTATTTATTCATCACCATTACTTTGGGATGTAACTGTCTGAAGAAGTTACCTTCAAATCACAGAGCTGATAATTGGACGAGACAGTATTCAAAATCCGTGCAATTTTACCCGAAATTTGATTTTTTTTCTCCAGCATAGTATTGTACTTTACCTAAATCAAAAAGTTAGTTTGTGTTGTCCTTTCTGAGGAGTGAATGCTAAGTGAAATTTCAACTTGTGATCATTGTGTTTTGAGAGAGTTCTTGGTGTCTCTGCAGGAATGCTCTTAAGTCAACAGAGTCCCTCTTGCACACTTGTACCTGTCTCGGTTTCCAGCAGCCCTGTTTAAAATCCTACACCTTGGCCGATGTGGCTTGGTTGGGGCGTCATCTGGTAGACTGAAGAGTTGTGGGTTTAATCCCCTGTTGGGATGTGTGGGAGAAGGCAACCAGACAATGTTTTTCTCTTTCCCTCTTTCCCTAAGAGCAATGAAAAAATGTCCTCGGGTTATGATAAAAAAAAGAAATCTGTGAAAGGCCAACGAAGGGCTACAGATGATGATGCATTCACAGCATAGCAGTTGAAAGAGTATTGCTTCCCTGTCATTCAGTCCATCTTTTCTAGGAAAACGGGAAGGGTAAAGAGATTAATCCTCAGAAGAGGCTCTTCTGACCTGTGACTTTGATGGGGATTTCTGGAGAGACAGACATCAACTTTTGTCTCTCGTAGCTAGAGTTTGACTCATGGCATTACATGTAGGTGCCATCAAGGACTTTGTTGTCATCGAGGTGTTGTTCCAAATGTTTGAGGAGAAAGGTGAAAATTACAGAAGAATGGAGAGTGTGGGTTAATGGGGTCAGGCTCCACAGGAAATGGAAACTCAGGAGGAAAATGATGATATATGAGGTCTGTCTGGAAAAAGTCCAGCCACTATTAGTATAAGAACGGTTTGCACAACATTGATATAACCTGGCAGCCAAGGAGAGTGGACTGGAATGCACATGTGTGAACAATGATATTTTCACTGTGCATCAGTGGAGGTGGTAGACACCGTTGAATGAGCATGTGTACTGTGGCCATCGCATTCAAAACAACTGAACAAGTAGGAGAATCAAGATGGTGGAGGAGTGAGTGGAAGTCACACTGACCTCCTCCCAGGACCAACCTGGAATTATAAGTAAATTGTGGAGAAATCACCTGGAACAAACAACTGAACAATAGCGAGAGAGGAGCCTTATAACCTCGGACAGACAGAACTATCAGCTTTAGCACAACCTCACTGTATGAATACTTCAAAGCTGTGCTGATAAATGAAAGGGACAAAGACAGGAACTTTTTGGAGCTGGGGAAGGAATTCATCTTAGCCCCAAATGACCATTTCAATAATTTGCCTTTGAACATCAGTCTGAGTGACATCCAAGTGCCAACAAACATGTACAACAAAGGAATTAAAGACAGAAGAACAAAAGCACTTGATTTATAATAGCTACTCATCTACAAGTATTTTTCAGGTACACGGCTTTCTAATAAAAGGAAAAACACCTGTGTGTCAGTTGTTTATAAAGAAATTAACAAGTAGAGCAACGAATCTGCATCCAATTTTGTGTTAAGCTTGAACGTTCCTCCGTGGAGAGATGCATGAAAACGGCCGCAGCTATGGGCAAGTGGTGATTGGCAGCTTCATCACAACAATGCACCCGCTCATGCACCATATGTTATGCCGAGTTTTTTTGTGAAACATCAAATCACCCAGGTGACTCAGCCCCTCTACAGCCCACATTTGGTGCCCTGCGACTTCTGGATTTTCCCAAAACTAAAATCACCTTTGAAAGGGAAGAGATTTCAGGCTGTCAATGAGATTCAGGAAAATAAAACTGGGCAGCTGATGTCAGTTCCAATAAGGGATTTTGCAGTGTTTTGAATAGTGGATAAGACACTGGAAGAACTGTGTGAGGTCCTGAGGTTCCCACTTTGAAGGGGACCGAGGCCTCATTGTCCTATGGACAATGTGTTTCTTGTATCTTCTTCAATAAATATTTCTCTTTTTCATATTATATGGATGGATACTTTCTGGACAGGCCTTGTATATTCCCTGATGGTAGGTGCCAACTTCTGTAAGTATCCATAAGATCGGACGTGTTCAAAATTTCTATATATTTACTGACTTATTTTTGTTTGCTTGATCCATCAGTAATGGAGAAAATATATTTGGCATCTCTTTGAGTAATAGATATAGGCATACCTTGGAGATACTGCAGGTTTGGATCCAGACCACTTCAGTTAAGTGAA